CGCGCGCCGGTCACGTGGTGCTCTCGCACCGTGCCGTCACGCGCGCCCCCGGCGCGGACCAATCGGAACGCGGCGGGGGCGGGACCGAGCGGCACTCGCAGCCAATGGGGAGGCGGCGGGCGCAGGGCGGGCGCGGGAAGCCGGGAAGGCACCGGCGGGGGTGAAGCGGCCGGAACCACCGGGAGGGGCTGGAGGGGGGCGGGGGAGCAGGCGAGACCACTGCGGGGCCGCTGGGGAGGGCGGGGAGCTGCGGGGCGAGGAGCGGGGAAACCAAAAACCGTGGGGAAGGGAGGGGGCGGTGAGGCCGCGGGGCGGAACCAGCTGGGGGGCGTGGTCTTTCGTGGGAGGGGGCGTGGCCTCAGTTCGCAGGCGTCACTGAGGGGCGCGGTCTGTGGGGAGGGGGCGTGGCCTTCGCTCGGGGGCGGGGCCTGGGGGCGGTGGCGCGAAGCCCCCACGTGCCCGCCCGGTGCCGGTGCCATGAAATGTGTCATCGCGGGCGGCAACGTCAAAGGTGAGCAGGGGGCACGGCGGGGCGGGGGGGTCCCCCAGGCCCTGCCTCACCCCCCTTACTCACCCTCTCTTTCCCAGTGCTGGGCCGAGCCGTGCACTCCCTGTCCCGCATCGGCGACGAGCTGTACCTGGAGCCCACGGAGAAGGGGGTACGGAGCAGCTGGGGGAGCTGGGTGGGGCACCTGTGCCCCCTTCAGTCCCTCCAGGCAGCGCCAACACTGCGTGTGCGTGTCCCCCAGCTGTCCCTGCGCGCCGTCAACTCCTCCCGCTCCGCCTTCGCCTCCTTCCTCTTCGCCCCCCTCTTCTTCCAGCTGTACGAGCCGGGCGGCCCCGCGCCCGACACCGAGCACTTCCGATGCAAAGTCCACATGAAGGTGCGGCCCCCCTGCCCAGGAACACCTTCCCCCCGAGCTCCCCGTTTTTCTCAGGCAGGTGACAGTCTCTGTATCCATCCCCTGTATCCATCCCCTGCCCACAGTCCTTCCTGGGCGTGTTCCGCTCGCTGCCCTCGCTGGAGAAGTCGGTGGGGAAATGCCTCATCCTGCTCAAGCACCGTGCCAGCCGCCTGGTCCTGCAGCTCCACTGCAAGTATGGTGAGTGCCAGGGGGGTGACACAACAGCGGGGACATGCTGGCACCGTGTGCTGCTCTGCTGAGCCCGTGTCCCCACTGCCAGGTGTCACCAAGACACACAACCTGGCCTTCCAGGAGTGCGAGCGGCTCCAGGCCGTGTTCGACACCCAGAGCTGCTCCAGCCGCCTCTGTGCCCCGGCACGGTGAGAGGGGAACAAGGGGACACCACGGGGATGGCACTGGGGTGGGCAGGACAAAGGGGTACACCGGGGTGGGCACAGGGGGATGAGGGTGGAAGGAAGGAGGGATCCTGGCTGGCCCCATGGGATTTGGGGTGCTCAGCCCCCCTCCATGTGCCCCCCTCACCTACCCCCTGTGCCCCCAGCGTGCTGGCAGACGCTGTGGTCCACTTCCCCCCGACGCTGGCTGAGGTGACACTGGGGACTGGCCCCGGGGGCAAGATCAGCCTCCGGAACTACGTGGAGGACGAGGCAGGTGAGTCCTGTGGGCTGAAGTAGCCCTTTGTCTGCCCTGGGGTGCCCTCACAGCCCCCCAACCCACCTCTCCCTCCCACCAGAGCTGAGCAAGACGATGGTGACGGAGCTGTGGCTGGCTGAGGACGAGTTCCAGTCAGTGACCGTGTCCCCGGGCTCCCGCATCACCTTCTGCCTCAAGGAATTTCGGGTGAGTCCCTGCTGGGTTCCCCCAGCCCCGTGTCACCCCCCAGCTCCCCCCTCACCCCCCACTTTGTCCCCAGGGGCTGCTGACCTTCGCCGAGGCCTCCAACCTGCTCCTCACCATCCACTTCGATGAGCCTGGCAGGTAGGAGGGGGTGCTGTGCCCCGCACCCCGTGCCAGCCCTGCCTCTGTGTCCCCCCAACCCTCAGCCCCTCTGTGCCCCCAGGCCGGTGGTCTTCACCCTGGATGACACCGTGCTGGAGGTTCACCTGGTGCTGGCCACCCTCTCTGACCTGGAAAGCAGCTCCCTCCCCCCCCCCACCAACGGGTGAGTCCCACAGGAACCCCCCAGCTGCTCACAGCAGGGACCAGAGTGAACATTCCTGATCCTGCCCCTGTCTCCTCGCTCCCTCCCCATCAGTGTGTCCCACCTGCCCACCCCGGCTGACGACTTCGCTGATGACCTTGAGTCCTACATGGTTGCCCTGGAAAGCAGTGCCTGTGAGGGGGCATCCGGGGGGCCCCCCAGCCCCACCTTCCCCCTGCGCACCCCCCGGACAGCCCAGAGCGACCCTGAGGAGCAGGAGGAGGAAGAGGATGAGGACGGAGCTGTGCCGGGGACCCCCCCTCACAAGAAGGTCTGGGATGGGTGTGCCTGGGGGGGCAGGAGGTGGTCACAGCCCCCTCATGACCCCCCCTCACAAGAAGGTCTGGGATGGGTGTGCCTGGGGGCAGGGGGTGGTCACAGCCCCCTCCTGACCCCCTCCTTTCTCCCCACAGTTCCGCTCCCTGTTTTTCGGCTCGGTGCTGACACCAGGGGGGCCCGGCCTGGCCCCCACCCAGGAGGTGCTGGCAGAGGACAGCGATGGAGAATGTTGAGCCCCGAGCCACTGCCACCCCCTCAGCATCCAACCAGCACAGGCACCCCCCAGTGACCCGATTCATTACAAGTTTATTCCCCAAAAATTTCCTCCCGCCCCCCGCTCCGCTGCCACCCCAGGGCTGGGCTCTGGGCTCTGGGCTCCGGGCTCCCCCCTCGCCCCGGCACTCCCTGCCCTGGCACTGGGCTTGCTTTGGTGGAGCGTGGCTCGAAGAGGGGGGGGAAACAGGATCCTCCAAATAAAAAAACTTGAGTCGAAAGAAAAGCGACCTGATTCTGTGTGTGTGGGTGGGTGTGGGGTGGGGAGGGGGACAGGAGGGTGGGTGGGCAGCACCCCAGCCGGGGCAGGGGGCGGCTCCCACGGCTCATTTCTTGGCTTTGGCAGAGTTTCGGGGGGGGGTGACGGGGCGCCCGGCGGGGTTCAGCCCACTGAACTGCCCGTACTTGCCCTTGCTCTTGTCGGCCGGCTTCAGGATCTGGGGGGCAAGGGGGAGAAACGGGTCAGGGGGGGAAGAAACGGGTCAGAAAGGGGTGAAGGGGGAGAGAAATGCATGAGGGGAGGGAGAGAAATGGGCAAGGAAGGGGCTTCACACAAGGGGCTTCACACCGTCCCGCCCCAGCTCCCCGCTCCCCTCCTGCCTCCAGGGCAGAACACCTCGGTGCCCTCCGCTCTCCCTCCAGCCCCTCCAGCAGGAATTGGGGGTGTCCTGCCCCTGGCCCAGCCCACCTGGAAGGAGCACATGAGGGTCTCGTCCACGCTCATCATGGCGCCCGCGTTGTCGAACTCGCCGCAGTAGTTGGGGGCCGAGAACAGGGTGACGAGCTGGCGCTTGGCGAAGAACTCGTAGCCATCCTCCACCACCTGCACGAGGGGGGCACACAGTGAGCACCCCCGGGGCAGATAACCACCCCCCCGGGCAAATAAACCAAACCCCGGGACCACTGTGCAACTTCAGGGGCAAATACCCACCCCCTCTGTGGCAAATATTCCCCTCCTGAATACCCACTCCCCTGGGGTCAATACCCGCCCACTCAGGGCAAATTCCCACTTCCCTGGAGTAAAATATCCATCCCCAAGGCCAGATATCCAGGCTCCCAGGGTGAATACTCACTCCCCTGGGGCAAATTTTGACCCTCACGGGGCAAATGCTCACCCCCCCAGGGTCAATGTCAGGCAAATCCTCCCCCCTGGGGCCAGTATCCACCTCCAGGCAAATGCCCAAATCCTGGGGTAAAATCTCACTCCTCTAGGATAAATACCCAAATCCCAGAGCAAATCCCCCCTGAAATCCTGCCTACACACTCACAACAACCCCCCAAAATCAAACACCTCCTCTGGGGCGGGCAAACACCCCCTCAGGACCCACCCCTGGAGCACACACCGCCCTTGAGGGGCAAATCCTCGGGGTACACATGCCTGCCCTACACCCGACACCCACTGGGCACCCAAAGCCCCACTCCAGGGTCCCTCCCCAATATTTTGGGGGTCCCGGAGGTACCTGGTGTGCCCGGCAGATGAGATCCAGGTCGTGCTTGTGCAGGAACTTGGCCACCACCTCGGCCCCGAAGGTGAAGGAGACGCCGCGGTCGTTCTCCCCCCAGCCCTGCACGTCCTTGTCGGGGTCGGACCAGAGCAGGTCGCAGAGCAGCCCCTGATCCGGGACGTCCGTGGGCCGCATGATCCGCCGGATCTGCTCCATCGACTGCAGGTCTGGGGACAGCCCTGCGGGGAAGGGGAGCCCCCGGAGCTCAGCACGGAGATCCCGCCCCTCCACAGCCCCTCCCCAGATCCCTGGGAAAGGGGTTTTTTTCCCCACCTCCGTGGCAGCAGAAGATCTTCTCGTCCACGATGGCGGCGATGGGCAAACAGTTGAAGCAGTCGGTGAAGGTCTTCCAGAGCTTGATGTTGTATCGCCGCTTGCCTGGGGGGGACAGGGAGGATTTGGGGGTGTCCTTGGGGGACAACAGGGACTTAAGTGTGTGTGGGGCTCCCAACAGGGGGTTTAGCCCCCAGGTGATGCACAGGCAGCTGCCCTGAGGTCCATCAGACCTGGCAAAGCTCTGGCTGCACAGGGACAATGGGGACGTGGGGGTGTCCTTGGGGGACAATGGGGACTTAGGGGTGTCCTTGGGGGACAATAGGGACGTGGGGGTGTCCTTGGGGGACAATTGGGACGCGGGGGTGTCTTGGGGGACAATGGGGACTTAGGGGTGTCCTTCGGGGACAATGGGGATGTGGGGGTGTCCTTGGGGGACAATGGGGACGTGGGGGTGTCCTTGGGGGACAATGGGGATGTGGGGGTGTCCTTGGGGGACAATGGGGACGTGGGGGTGTCCTTGGGGGACAATGGGGATGTGGGGGGGTCCTTGGGAGGGCACTGAGGTGGGTGACATGGGGGCACAGGGGGACAGGGTGGGACTGGGGGGGGGTAGGAGGACACAGGGCTGGACAAAGGGGTGGCAAGTGGACACTGGAGAGGTCAGGAGGACACAGGGATGGCAGGGGGATATTGGTATGGCCAGGGGGACACAGGAGGACAAGAGGACAGGAGGGGGTGGCAGGAGGATGTGGAGGGGGACAGGAAGACAAGGAGGGGCAGTAGGACATGGGATGGGCAGGAGGACAATGGGAGTAGTGGATGAGGGACATGGGGGTCAGGGGGACAAGGAGGGGTGGCAAGAGCACATGGGGGGACAGAAAGATTATAGTGGGGCAGGGGGACAACGGGGGGGCAGGAGGACATGGGGAGAGGGCAGGAGGACGTGGGGAGAGGGCAGGAGGACGTGGGGAGAGGGCAGGAGGACGTGGAGGGGGACAGGATGATGTGGAGGGAGACAGGAGGACAAGGGTGGGCAAGGGGTGGCAGGAGGACATGGAGAGGGACAGGAGGACATGGAAGGGGACAGGAGGACACAGGGGTGGGCAAGGGGTGGCAGGAGGATGTGGAGGGGGACAGGAAGACAAGGAGGGGCAGTAGGACATGGGATAGGCAGGAGGACAATGGGAGCAGTGGATGGGGGATATGGGGGGTCAGGGGGACAAGGAGGGGTGGCAAGAGGACACAGGGCGGTGGCAAGAGGACATGGGGGGCAGCAGGATACGGGGGTACAGGAGGCCACACAGAGGGGGCAGGAGGACATAGGGGTGGGCAGGAGGACATGGGGAGGCAGTAAAAGGATACGGGGTGACAGGAGGACAACAGGAGTGGTAGACAAGGGGACAAGAGAGGGTGACGAGCACATGAGGGGGTAGGAGGATACAGGAGGACAGGAGGTGGCAGAAGGACACAGGGTGGACAGGAGGATACATGAGGGAGGTCAGGAGAACACGGTGGGAGGGCAGAGGGGGCGGGAGGACTACCCTGGTCACAGCTGGGGTGGGACAGCACTGGGACAGCAGCAGGTGAGGGGTGCACAGGGACAGCTGGGGGGTTTGGGGGGCCCAGCCTGGGCACTCACACTCGTCGTAGAAGCCGTAGATGCGGTTGATGCTGGCACACTCGTGGTTGCCCCGCAGCAGGAAGAAATTCTCGGGGTACTTGATCTTGTAGGCGAGCAGGAGGCAGATGGTCTCCAGAGACTGCTTGCCCCGGTCCACGTAGTCCCCCAGAAACAGGTAGTTGCTCTCAGGGGGGAAGCCCCCGTACTCAAAGAGCCGCAGCAGGTCATAGTACTGCCCGTGGATGTCACCTGAGGGGGGGGGACAGGCTGTGAGTGGGACCCCAGCTCCCCACAGCCCCCCTGCCTTCCCATGGGCAGCGCAGGGCTGTGCAGGACCCCCCACCCACCCATCCAGCCCTCACCGCAGATCTTGAGAGGTGCCTCCAGCTCCAGCAGGATCGGCTGGCTCAGGAAGATCTCCCGGGATTTCAGGCACAGCCCCCGGATCTCGTTCTCCGTCAGCTGCACGTTCTTCCCTGGCCGCGACCCTTGGACTGGCCCCCCACCCCAGAGAGTGGGGTCAGGGACCCCTAAAGTGCCCCAGGAACTCCCCAGGAACCCCGCCAGCAGCCCATCTCTAGGGCACCCCCCTTGTATTCCCCAGCCCCTCCCGCCGGGAAACAGATCCCTTAGGAACTCCCCCCATATCCTCCAGGCTCAGTTCCAACCCCCACACCCCTTGGGGACCCCCCCGTATCCTCAGGCTCATCTCCAGCCCCCCACACCCCTTGGGGACCCCCCTCATATCTTCCAGCCCGCACCCCCCCCGCGGGGTATAGACTGCTCAGGGACTCCTCCCATATCCTCCAGGCTCAGCTCGAGCCTTCCAGACCCCTTGGGGACCCGCCCCAAACACCACCCGATCATGACCCCCCTTCCCAAAAGCACCGCGGCCTAACACCCCCCCCCCCGCCAGGCCCGGGCCGGGAACCTCCCCCTCCGCGGCGTTGGGGCACGGCCCGGGCGGGCCCCGGGGACCTCCGCGGACGGACAGGGGGCAATCCCGGGGGCCGGGGGCGGCGGGGACCCCTCACCCTCCAGGAGGCGGCTGATGATGGAGTCGAGGTTGAGCTTCTCGGTGTCCGCCATGGCCGCCCGCGCGCCGCCACGCCCCGCGCGCCCGCCCAGAGCGCCTCCCCCCCCCTCGCTCGGGGGCGCCCCCTGCCGGCTCGGAGGAGTCACCGCGGCGCTTCGGCGTCCCCCTTGTCCCGGTGTCCCGATCCCAGCGCCGATGGGGACGGGAGACAGGACAAACATGGAGGGGAGGGGGGCGGGGAGCCACGGCGGTGGCATAGAGGCAGGAGGACACCCGTGGAGGTGGGACATGCGTGGCAGATGGAGAAGCCGGGCAAGGGGACATCCCTGGACAGGGGGACACGCCGGGAACGGGGATACCCCGGGAAGGGGGACATCCTGGGAAAGGGCATAACCCCGGAAGGGGGACACCCTGGGAAAGGGGACATCGCGGGAAAGGGGACAAGAGGGACCACGGGGACTCGTATCCCGCTCCTGGGCGGGCAGAGATAGAGTGGAGGAGGCAGCCTCGGGGTAGATGGGGGTCCCCGGGACTGGGGCCCTGGGGACACGGAGGGGACACGGGGGGACATGGGCACTCGTATCCTAGTCCTGGGAGCACAGGGATAGGGGCTGCGTGGAGTTAGGGGCAGACCAGGAGGGACCAGGGCAGGAGTGGGTCCCCAGGACTGGAGTCAGGGTGACACGCAGGGGACACAGAGGGACACCAGGGGACACCACGACGCCTGGCAGAGCTCGGGGATGTCCCCGCCCCGGGGCCTTGGGGACACCGTCGGGAGCAGCACCGGGCGGTTGCCGGGAAGCTGTTGCCACCTCGGGGACACCCCGAAGGCCGGGCTCCCGCTGGGGACACGGAGGAGGATGACAAGGTTGTGCCACGGCTGGGGCAGGGTGGCAGTGCCAGGGATGGGGTTCTGCCTGTCCCCTGCCTGTCCCCCGCCTATCCCCCTGCCCACAGTGGCTGTGCCATGCCGTGCCATGCTCTCTCATGCCATGCTGTGCCCTGCCATGCCATTCCCTGTGCGCCATTCTCTGTATGCCATGCCAAGACATGCCATTCTCCTGTGCCGTGCCATGCCATTCCCTGTATTCCACTCCCTGTGCACCACGCCATGCCGTGCCACTGCCCGCATGCCATTCCCTGCCATTCCCTGTGCGCCATTCCAGCCGTGCGGGTGCGGTCGGGAATAGCTCCCGGGGCCTGCCCCGGCCCTGACATTTCTGCTCCGCGGTGTCAGTTTTACACCCGGCCCTGGGTGACCTCGGGCTGGCCCGGTCCCTGTCCCCGGTCACTTGTCCCCTACCCCCATCCCTGTCCCCGTCCCGTGTCCCAGTCTCGCTCCCTGTCCCCGTCCCCCCGCGGTGCCATCCCGGCTCCGCAGCCACGGGCCCCCCGCTGTCCCCTTTTCCTGCCACCCCTCTCGGTCCCCCCGGTCCCTCCGGTGCCCCCGGTCCCGCCCCGCCCCGCCCGGGGCCGCCCCGCCCGGGCAGGAGGCGCCGCTGCCACCGCCGGGACCGGAGCGGGCAGAGCCACCGCCGGGGTGTGACAGCACCGGGACCGACTGACACCGCCACTGCCACCGCCGGTGGGTGCTGGCAGGGTGGGGGTCCGGGTGATCCGGGGGGGGGATGTGTTCTTGGGGGGGTGCTGGTGTAGGGAGGGCAGGAACAGAGGGATGCAGGCTGGGGTGTGTGCACGTGTGTGTGTGCACGCACATGTGTGTGTGTGCACGTGTGTGTGTGTGTGTGCACATGTGTCTGTGTGTGTATGTATGTGTGTGTGTGTGCGCACGCGTGTGTCTGTGTATGTGTGCGTGTGTGTGTATGCACACGTGTGTGTGTGCGCGCACGTGTGTGTGTCTGTGTGCACATGTGTGTGTGTCTGTGTAGCTGTGCATGTGTGTGTGTGCACGTGTGTGTGCATGTGCACATGTGTGTGCACGTGCCCATGTGACAGGGTGCAGGTGACGAGGTGCGGGTGACAGGATGCAGGTGACAGGGTGACGGGTTGTGTGCACACGTGTGTGTGTGTGTGTGTGTACACGTGTGTGTGTGCACACGTGTGTGTGTGTGCACAGAGCGGTGTGACAGTACAGGTGTGCAGGGTGTGTGTGTGTGCAGGTGACACGGTGCGGGTGACAGGGTGAGGGTAACCAGGTGCAGGTGACAGGGTGTGGGTGACAGGGTGCAGGTGACAGCGTGGGTGACAAGCTGTGGGTGACAGGATGCGGGTGATGGGGTGGCAGTGACAAGGCTGCAGGTGATGGTGCAGGGGACAAGGTGTGAGTGACAGTGCAGGTGACAGTGCGGGTGACAGGGAGCGGGTGACAGGCTGCGGGTGACAGGGAGCGGGTGACAGGGAGCGGGTGACAGCGCGTGCAGGACCCTGCGGCGCAGCAGCCGCGCTGATGGCCCCGTGCCTGCCGGTGGTGGTGACGGTGACGGTGACAGTGACACCGCAGGCAGCTGGAGATAAGCCCGGGGACGTGCGTGTTGGCAGCTCCGCCACGCTGGGGCCGGGGGGCCGGGGCGGGGGGGGCAGAGGGCGTGCCCAGCCTGGGGACACGGGACGGGGGGACAGGGACACCCCGGCGGGCTGAGCCACGCCCCGGGCCCCGCTGTGGCAGCGTGTCCCTCCCTGGCGACGGGGACAGGGACAGGGACACGGACAGAGGTGCCAGCGCCTGGCGCGAGGTGGCAGAGGGGACAATGGGGCTCTGTGTCGCCTAATCCGGGGCACGGGGCCGGGGGTTGGCACCCCGGGGTGGCGCGGGGGGGGTTTAAAGGCCAGACCGGCCGGTGTCCCCTGTGCCAGTTGTCCCCGAGCCCTCGTCCCCTGCGCGCTCTCAGGCCACGGCTCCCACCCCAAGGTACCGGGGGACACGGCTGTCCCAGCTTGGGGACCGCAGGGCCACCTCCCGGCTGGGGGTGGAGGGGGACAGGGAGGTCCCCAGGCTGGGGGGGGGGCGCGGACCTGGAGGGACCCCGGTGGCTGCCTCGTGGATGGGTTTTGGGGGGTTCTTGTGCCATGTCACCGAGCAGCGTGCCCCCCAGCCCTGTCCCCGGGTGCCGGCCACCCCTTGGGGACAACCCCCCCGCCACGTCCCCCTGAGGTCCCGGCACCCCGGGGGGCGGGGGGTGCCTCGGTGCGTGGCTGCCAGCGGGCACCGCTCAGCTCCGTGCCTCAGTTTCCCTTCGTGCCAGCTCTGCCGGGCACCTGCCGGGGCTGGGGACACCCTGGGGGCCGGGGACACCCCGGGGACCTGGGTCTGCACCCCCAGGGCACCTTGGCACCCCCGGGGCTGGGGGGGTTGCCCCCGGCTGTGCTGAGCTGGCACGGGATTACACTAATCCCTGGGCGGGCTCAGCCGGAGGTGCCGGGGCCACCGGGGCTGGCACCGAGGGGAAAACCCAGGGCCACCGTGACTGGCACCGAGGGGTCAATCTGGGGCCGCCAGGGTGGTCAACGAGGGGACAAGCTGGGGCCACTGGAGCTGGCACAGAGGGGTCAACCTCGGGACACCAGGAATGGCACTGTGGGGCTGGCACCAAGAGAACAAACTGGGGCCGCTGGGGTTGGCACCGAGGGGACAAGGTGGGGGCACCAGAATTGGCAACCAGGGGTGCCCCAGGAAGGGTGTCAGGCTCTGGTGGGTGCTGCGGGAGGGGTTCTCCCATGGGGGGCTCTAGAGGGGGCTCTCGGCACCGGGGGGGTGTGGCCGGGGGGGTGGCAGGTCCCCAAGGAGCCACACTGACTCCGCCTGTCCTTCTCTTGCAGCCCCTCTGTCACCAGGATGGTGAGTGGCCCCCGGGTGGGGGGTCCGGGCGGAGGTGTGTGCCCACCCCAGGGACCCCGGCGGTGCCGGGCACTGGCGCGGGGCAGCGTGGCGTGCTGTGCCCACCCTCCGCGTGACCCCGCGGGGACAAGGGGACGCTTTGTCCGGGAGCTGGTGGCCCCGGCGGCTGGCACTGCCCCGCTGTCCCCGAGGCGGTGGCGCTGTGCCCGGCGCCCGCAGCCCCCCGGCACCGTGACACCCCCACCCGCGGGTGGCAGCGGCGCCCGGTGCCCCTATGCTGCGTCTGCACCGTGTCCCCCGTGCCCGCCCGGTGTCTGCCCCCGTGACAACCCCGTGCCACACCCACGCCAGCCCCTTAGATCCCTGTCGGCCCCTCAAACCCGAGCCAGACCCATGCCAGTCCATGGCAACCCATTTAGCCCCGTGCCAGCCTGTTAGCCACATACCAACCCCTTAGTCCCGTGCCAGACCCGTGACAAGCAATTAGCCCCATGCCAGCCTCATACCACCCCTATAGCAGCCCTTCAGACCTGTGCCAGCCCCATGCCAGTCCCACGCTAAACCACTGGCCCCACACCAAACCCTTAGAGCCGTGGCAGCCCCACACCAGCCCTGTGCCAGCCACGTGCTCTCCCTTAGTCCCATGCAAGCCTCATACTAGCATGATGCCAACCCACTAGCCCCATGCCAGCCCCGTGCCACCCCCTTGGCCCCATGCCACTGCCATACCAGCTCTTTAGCCTGTGCCAGCCCCACATACCAGCACCTCAACTGCATGCCATCCACTTAGCTCTGTTCCAGCCCCATCCCAACCCCCTTATCCCAGTTCCAGCCCCGTGCCACCCCCTTCTCCCCGTGCCAGCCCCATGCCAGCGCGGTCCCTGCTCCCGCAGCTCTCGATGGCCCAGCCGAGCCCGGAGCGGGTGCCCAGCCCTGCGGAGCAGGAGTGGGCAGGGCCCGAGGCGCTGTGCCCAGGCTGGCTGGAGGACGAGGCCCCCGATGGCGACGTGCCCGGGGACAGCGGGGACCCCGACGGTGCCACCCACGCCTTCGAGCGGCTGCAGAGCGCCCTGTGCCAGGAGGGGCTGCCCCCCACGCTGGACTGCTCCGCGGAGCCCCGCACGGGTGGGAGGCACGGGGGGCACGGCGCCAGGCTGGGGACACGGGGGTGGCACGGGCTGGGGTGGGGGAACGGCGCCAGGCTGGGGACACGGGGGTGGCAGGGACTGGGATTAGGGAATAGTGCCAGCCTGGGGACACGGGGGTGGCAGGGACTGGGGTGGCACTGGGGGCACAGTGCCGGGCTCGGGACAAGGGATATTTGGGGTCTCCTAGCCGGGCTGGGGTGCCAGGGACAGAGTGGCACCGGGGTTCCCACCCCGGGGCTGTTGACCCTCCCCTTCCCGGCAGGATTTGGCCCGCTGGACATGACTGTTTGCATCCTGGGCTCCCCCACCGCCTTCCTGCCCGTCCTGCTGGAGGGTGGCACCCGCTGCCCAGGTGGGAAAGGTCCCCTTGTCCCCAGCCCTGACCCCACAGTGGGGTGTCCCCAAACCCGCCTGTGCTGCGTGACCGGGGCTGGGAAGGAAACTGAGGCAGGGGAGGAGGGTGGCACCAACCCCCCGTGCCCCACTAACCCCAGTACACACCAGTCCAGCAGCAAACGCCACCCCGGGGTGTCAGGGGGTACGGGGCCCTCACTGCCCACCCCCTGCCCGCCCCCAGGTGCCATGGTGCTGTGCCTGTCACCCACCTGGGCCAGCCGGGTGCCGTCGGAGTCGTGTCCCGGTGCTTGGTCCCTGCTGCTCTCCCAGGGGGTCTCCTTCAAGGTGGGGGGTCACAGCGCCCTGGAGACCTTCGTACCCCCCCGCCGTGCCAACTACGTGACGGGCACGTTCGCGCCGTGGGACCCCGAGGGCGGCTGGGCGGCCGAGCTGGCCCGTGACCTCGACTGCCCCACGGGGGGCTCGGCCCCGCTCGCCCGACGCCTCGAGGACCTGCTGGTCACCCGCTGGGTGCTGGCGGCTCGTGCCAAGCTGCCCGTGCCCCCCACGCTGGCCTTCGTCCTGGAGGCTCGGGGGGACCTGCCCGCCGAGCTGGAGGTGCCCGGGGTGAGGCTGGTGCGGCTGCAGGACCCCCAGGGCCAGGACAGCCTGGTGCGGGAGGAGGTGGGCGCCTTCCTGGGGGGCACCGCCATGGAGCCCTACAGCCAGGTGGGCACAGGGGGGCACGAGGGGCACCCACAGGGCGTGGCAGGGGGGTAGGGGTAAGGGGTATGGGCACGGCAGGGCACAGGGGCACGGTGGGGGCACCTGTGGGTCACACACCAGTAGGGTGTCACTGGTGACAGTGTGACAACTGTACCGGGGTGGTGGGGTGGCTGTTGAGGTGGCCCTGGGTGGCACATTGGCACATGCAGGTGGTGACCATGGTGGGGGGTGACATGGGGGTACACACAGGTGGTGGGGTGGCTGTTGGTGTGGCACCGGGTGGCACTGGGTGGCATGGGGGTGCTCACAGGTGATGGGGTGGCACAGGGTGACATGGGGGTGTTCACAGGTGATGGGGTGGCACAGGGTGACACGGGGTGCCCACGGGGTGACACGGAGGTGCCCACAGGTGATGGTGCGGCCGGCGGGGTGGCGGTGGCGGGGGACGGGCACCCACAGCACCCACCGGAAGGAGGAGGGGGCGGCGGTGGCGCAGGCGGTGTGTGCCCGGCTCCGGGGGCTGATGGAGGAGGACAGCGTCCTGTTGGAGGCCATGGTGCCCACCGCCCGCCTGCCCCTGCCCCCCCCACGTAAGGCCCCCGCCCTTGGGTGCCCACCACCCCGGGGGAGGGGGGGAAGGGTCCCCCCAGGTCCCCCTGGCTGTGCCAGCCCTGTGTCTGTCCCCTGGGGTAGGTGGGTGGCTGGGGGGTGGATGGAGGGTCATCAGGATGCCCAAACTCCAGGCATCCTGGGGGTGGGCATGAGGGTGGTCGCCCTGGACCCCCATGGTCCCTGGTTGGGGGGGAAGTCACCCTGGACCCCCACGGTCACCTGGGGTGAGAGGGAAGGGCACCCTGGACTCCCACAGTCTCCTGGGGTGGGAGGGAAGGTGACCCCCCTTGCCTCCTGACAGTCCCCTGGGGCTGGGGGTGACAATGACCGTGCTGTACCCCCCACTCCCCTGGGGCTGGGGTTGGCCAGGGCCACCGTGGTGCCACGGGGGGGGTGCCCAAAGCCCCCGGAGGAGGGGGGGGGTTGGGTAGGGACAGTGCCTGCCCTGTCGCTCGCCCCCCAGGCAGCCCAGCCCCGCGGCTGCCCGTGGCCCTGCGCATCTGCACCCTGCTCTGCAGGTCCTGGGGGGACCGGCCCCAGCTCTGCCAGGTACGGTGGGTCCCCAACCCCTGGTGGCCCCGCACGTCCCCAAGCTATCCGTGTCCCCAAACCCTGGTGGCCATGTGTATCTCCATGCCCTGGTGGCAGCCCATGTTCCCCAGGCTATGGTACAGTAGCCCAGGTCCCCATGCCCTTGTGGCCCTGTGTGTTCCCAGGCTGTGGTGGCCATCCGTGTCCTGGTGGCCCCACATGTCCCCAAGCCATGGTGGCACCCGGTGCCATGACAGCCCACATCCCCATGTCCCCTGGCTATGGTGCCCATCCATATCCCAGTCCTTGGGTCAATGTGTCACCCCATATCCCCCTTCCCTGGTGGCAGCTGGGTCCCCAGGCTATGAGGTGGCAGCCAACACCCCCATACCTGGTGGCAAGGTAGTCACCCTACCTTGTGTGGCCGTCCGTGTCCCCGCGCCGCCGCGGCAGCCCACGTCCCCGGGCGATGGGGTGGCAGCCGGTGTCCCCACGGCCGCGCCGGTGTCCCCGCAGGTGGCCTGCGCCGTGGGACGCGCGGAGAGCCCGGTGCGTCACGGGGCGGCGCTGCCCCAGGGCCTGGACTCCAGCCTGCAGCAGTGGGGGGTGGTGGCCCCCAGCCAGCGCCAGGCGCTGGCCACGCGGCTCCGGAAGGCCACCGAGGCCGCCATGGCCGCCCTCCTGGCCGCCGAGGCCGAGCTGAGCCCGCAGCAGCGCGGCGGCACCCGCGCCCGCACCGACATCCTGGGTGAGCGCGGCGAGGGGCGGCGCCGGTCCCCGATGTCACCCCGCGGCGCCGAGCGCGGCGTCACCGTCACTGTCACCGTCCCCAGGTGTGGACTTCTTGCTGGCGTGCGTGGATGACGCCCTGGAGCTGGTGGCCCTGGCCACCAACAGCCAGCGGTGCCTGGAGACCTGCGTGCTGGCCGAGGCCATGGGGCGCGCCGTGGGGGAGCCCGCCGGGGACCTGCCCCGGCTGCTGGCCGAGGCCATGCTGCACCGGGCGCAGTGTCACCTGGTGGAGGGCAAGGACATCCTGCTCATCGGGGCCGGCGGCGTCAGCAAGAGCTTCGTCTGGGAGGCGGCTCGAGAGTACGGGCTGAAGGTGAGGAGGGTTTGGGGCGCTGCCCTCCGGAGGTCTCGGAGCGCACACCGGGTGCCGCGTCCCGGCCAGTGGCGGTGGGCGTCCCGGCCACACCTCTTCTGGCGACGCAGATCCACCTGGTGGAGTCGGACCCGGAGCACTTCGCCGCGGGGCTGGTCCAGACCTTCCTGCCCTACGACAGCCGGGAGCACCGGCGGGACGAGGAGCACGCGGAGCGGGTGCTGGAGCTGGTGCGCTCCCGGGGGCTGCGGCCCCACGCCTGCCTCTCCTACTGGGACGACTGCGTGGTGCTGGCGGCGCTGGTGTGCCAGGGCCTGGGGCTGCGCGGCTGCTCGCCCGCCGCCGTCCGCGTGGCCAAGCAGAAGAGCCGGACCCACCAGCACCTGCAGCGCTGCCGCCGCGGCCGCCCGCCGCCCGCCGCCTTCGCCGTGCCCTGCCGCCGGCTGCAGAGTCACGGCGACGTGGAGCGGGCGGCGGGCGCCGTGCCCTTCCCGGCCGTGGCCAAGCTGGAGTTCGGGGCCGGAGGCGTCGGGGTGCGGCTGGTGGAGGACGCCGGGCAGTGCCACGCGCACGCGGCGAGGCTGTGGCGGGACCTGCGGGACGACGCCGACCACCCGGGCATCGGGCTGGGCTGGGGCAACGCCATGCTGCTCATGGAGTACGTGCCGGGCACCGAGCACGACGTGGACCTGGTGGTCTTCGACGGGCGGCTCGTGGGCGCCTGGGTGTCGGACAACGGCCCCACGCGCGTCCCCGCCTTCCTGGAGACGGCGGCCTGCCTGCCCTCCTGCCTGCCCGCCGACCGGCAGGCGCAGCTGGTGCGGGCGGCCCTGCAGTGCTGCCGGGCGTGCGGGCTGCGCGACGGCGTCTTCAACGTGGAGCTCAAGCTGGGGCCGGGGGGCCCGCGGCTGCTCGAGATCAACCCCCGCATGGGGGGCTTCTACCTGCGCGACTGGATCCGGGAGGTCTACGGCCCCGACCTGCTGCTGGCGGCGGTGCTGGTGGCGCTGGGGGTGCCGCCGGTGCTGCCCGCCCGCCCCGCGCCCCGCGCCCACCTGGCCGGGGTGATGTGCCTGGGCTCGGAGCACGGCGCGGCGCTGGCGGGCGGCGGCGGGATGGAGGCGCTGCGGGAGCTGCAGGGCCGGGGGCTCGTCCGCCTCAACCGGCTCTTCGAGGAGGTGGCGGGGGACGGCGAGTACGAGGAGCCGCTGCTGAGCGTGGCGTGCGACGGGGCGACGCGGGCGGAGGCTTGCGTGCGCCTGCTGGGGCTGTGCCAGGCGCTGGGCATCGACTCCCCGAGATACCCCGTGGAGCATTTCTTGTCCCACTTCAAATAGCGCCGGGCAGGCAGCGGGGACGGCGGGGGAAAGCGGGGCGAGGGCGTGGGGAAAGCCCACCCGCCGCCCCGGTACCCCCTCCCGCCGCCCCGCTCCCCGGCATCCCCCCCGCAGCCCAGCCCGCCCCGCAGCCCCGCTCCCCGGCATCCCCCCGGCACTCCGCCCCACCGGCCCGCCATCCCGTGGCCTGGCACACCGCCCCCTGGCACCCCCCCGCTGCCCTGGATCCCCATCACCTGCCCTGCTATCCCACGCCCTGGCATCCACACACTTCCCTGGCGGCCCATCCCCTGGCATCCTGACACCCCACCCACCGGGATCCCCCCATTAACCTGGCACCCCAACCCCTGGCACCCCTCTTCTGCCCTGGATCCCAATCACCTGCCCGGGTACCCCGTTCCCTGACACCCACCCACTCCCCTGGCACCCCATTTCCTGCCATCCCCCCACTACTCTTTTGTCCCATCCCCTGCCATCCCCCGTGTCCTGGCACCACATTCCCTGGCATCCCCTTCCATCCTCGCACCACATTCCTTAGCACCCCCCCCCCAATACTGTGGCACCCCCTTCCCTGTCATCCCTGCATTACACCGCTACCCCTTCCCCTAAAACCCCCCTCTCCCAATCCAGGCGCCCCATGTCTTGTTCCACCATTCCCTGCCATCCCCGCCGTGTCCTGGCACCCCATGCCCTGGCATTCCCCCACTCCCCTGATCCCCCTGCCCTGGCACCCCCATTCCCTGCTCCCCAACATCCCCCTTCCTTCCCTGTCCCCCCCGTCCTCGCAGCTGGGGGTCCCGTGCCCCTCCCATGCCAGGGACACTCAGGGGGACACCGAGTGGCCCTGTGCCATCCTGTGGCAGGGGGCAACCAAGGGACGCCCAGAGGCCCCTGAGCCACCCCACCTGAGCAGCAGGGGCAGCCTGAGGTGCGTTGGCACCTGGTGGCATGGGGAGACCCTACAATAACATACCAGCGTGGGGAGACCCCACAGCAACAAACCAGTGTGGGGAGACTCTGCAATAACAGACTGAGGTAAGGAGACCCCACAACAACACACCTGGAAGGAGAGACCCCCTAATTACAAACCGTCATGGGGAGACCCCATAATAATAAAGCAGAATGGGGAGACCCTACAATAGCAGACCAGTGAGGGGAGGCCCCACAGTAACAGACTGAGGTGGGGAGACCCCACAATAACACCCTGGAAGGGGAGACCCTACAATAACAAACCAGCATGCAACAAAACCACAATAACAGACCAGTGTGGGGAGACCCTACAGTAACAAAGGGGCACCCACGGATTCCCTGGAGCAGCTGAGAAGGTCCTCTGGGGAGAGACTTGTGTGGGGAGCCCCTGTGATATATAGGGCTGTCACTGGGGAGACCCTACAATAACACCAGCGACCACACAATAACACCAACATAGCCCCTGTAGTGCCTGAGACCTTAGAATAACAATAATGACCCTGCAATAACACCCACCTCCTGTAGCAACCCTGACCCTACAATAACACCAGAGACCTTACAATAACACCCAGCCCCTCTAGTGCCCCAACCCTACAAAAACACCACTGCCCCACAATCCTATAATAACACCCTACAAATAACACCAGACCCTACAATAACCCCAGAAACCCTACAATAACATCCATCCCCACAACCCTACAAAAACACCACTGACCCTACAGCAACACATGTCCCTACAGAAACACCAACCCCTACAACCCTACAATAACACCAGAGACCCTACAATAACACCCAGCCCCTGTAGTGCTTGAGACCCTGCAATAACTCGAGAGACCCTACAATAACACCCAGCCCTCACAGCCCCCACGACCCTACGACACCACCAGTGCCCCCCCAGGCCCACTCGTGGCGGAAAGAGGGGGGGGGGCCGGGAAGGGCTCCCCCCCTCCCTTCCTAACCCCCTCCTCTGACGTCACGGCGGCCCCGCTGACGTCACGGCGGCGCAGCGCGGGCGGGGCCGGGGCGACCCCCAGTAAAGGCTGTGAGCGGCTCTGTCCTTGTCCTTGTCCCTGCGCCACCCCCGGGGGCCCCGTGTCCCCCTTTACCGGGGACACCGGGGCACAGCCCGGTGACGCGGCGGGGCGTGTCCGTGGGGGCGTGTCCGTGGGGGCGTGTCCGTGGGGGCGTGTCCGTGGGGGCGTGTCCGCGGGGCGGGTCCCCGGGGGTCCCCGCGCGGCGCCGTCATGGCGGGGGTGTTCGACATCGACCTGGAGACCGAGGAGGGCAGCGACGGGGACGAACCCGAGCTGGGCGCCGTGAGCCCACCCCGGGGCGCGGGCGGGGGGGGGACGCGGGGGGGACACCCCGGGATCGGGACCCCCTGAGCGCCGGCGGGGGCGGGGGGCGGCGCGGCGGGGACGCGGGGCACCGGGATCGGGACGGGGCGCGGAGCGGGGACGCGGCGGGGACAGCGGGAGCGCGGGCACCGGGACACGCGGGGCACGCTCGGAGCCCGGCGGGGCGGGCGGGGGGCTGCGGGACGGCGACAGCGACAGGGACGGGGGTCCCGCCGGTGGCGGGGCGGGGGCTGTCGCCGCGCTGTCCGTGCGGCACCGGGGGCAGCCGCGGGTCCCGGCCGGGCAGCGGGTGGCTCCCGCTGGGCAGGGCCCGGCCTCGGCCCCAAAACATCCGGCAGGGCCGGCTCGGCGCTGCCTCGCCCCGCGCTGCCCGTGTCCTGCCCGTGTCCTGCCCGTGTCGCGCCTGCCATGGGTCCCCTTCCTGTCCTGGGTCCTCAGCCTGCCATGTGGCCCCTCCCTGCCGTGGGTCCCCTCCCTGCCTGCTGTGGGTCCCCTCCCTGCCTGCTGTGGGTCCCCTCCCTGCTGTCCTGGGTCCCCTCCCTGCCATGTGTCCCGCTCCCTGCCATGTGTCCCCTCCCTGCTGTCCTGGGTCCCCTCCCTGCCATGTGTCCCCTCCCTGCTGCCGTGGGTCCCCTGCCTGCTGCCGTGGGTTCTTTACCTGCCTGCCATCCCGCCCCGGGTCCCCTGCCTGCCATGAGTCCCCTGCCTGCCGTGGGTCTGCTGCCTCCCTGCCATCCCACCGCGTGTCCCCTCCCTGCCGCCGCCCCCCTGCCCCCCGTGCCCCCCCCTGCCCTCCGCTGACTGTGGGTCCCCTCCCGCAGGAGATGGAGCTGGAGCCCCGAGGGAACGGCCTGGAGTAAGTGGGGGGCAGGCAGGGGAGGGAGGGGCAGGCAGGGGACAGGCAGGGGGTCCGTCCCTGCTCACCCCCTCTCCCCCCAGGCCGGTGGGACACTACGAAGAGATCGAGATCTCGGAGAGCAGCGTCAACAACGGCCCCGAGCACATCGGCCCCCACTGCTTCGAGCTGCTCCGAGTCCTGGGCAAGGGTGGCTACGGCAAGGTGGGGGCACAGCGGGCCGGGGGGGTCCTGGCAGGGGCTCCAGTGCTGCTCCACAGCGTCCCCAACCTTCCCTTCCCGCCCTCCCAGGTGTTCCAGGTCCGCAAAGTCCAGGGCACCAACACGGGGAAGATCTTTGCCATGAAGGTCCTGAAGAAGGTAGTGCTACCCCTGCCCGCCCCCCGAGCCCCCGAGCCCCCCCCCGGGGACCCCCCAAACTCCACACCCACCCCCTCCCCAGGCCAAGATCGCCTGCAACGCCAAGGACACGGCGCACACCCGGGCAGAGAGGAACATCCTGGAGGCCGTCAAGCACCCCTTCATCGTCGACCTCATCTACGCCTTCCAGACGGGCGGCAAGCTCTACCTCATCCTGGAGTGCCTCAGCGGTGAGGGAAGGGGGGCCGGGGGGCTGGGGGGCTCGGGGAGCCCGGGCATGGCTTAGGGGGGTCTCAGGGATGGTTCCCGGAGTCACAGGGGTGGGTCAGACAGTCCCAGGGGTGGCTCAGGGGATCCAGGGATGGCTCTCGGCATTCCAGGGGTCACTCAGGGGGGTTCCAGAGGTGGTCAAAGGGGGGATTGTTTGGGGGGTCCAGGTATTGCTCAGGGACTCCCCAGGATGGCTCACGGGATCCCAGAGGTGGCTAAAGGGGTCCAAGGGGTGGCTCAGGGGGTCCTGGGGATTGTTCAGAGGGTCTCAAGGATGGCCCTGAAGGTCCCAGGTATTTCTCAGGGGTCCCAGGGATGGCTAAAGGGTTTCCAGGGATGGCTCAGGGGGTCCTAGGGATGGCTAAAGGATTTCCAGGGATGGCTCAGGGGGTCCCAGCGGGGTCCCAGGGATGGCTAAAAGGTTTCCAGGGATGGCTCAGGGGGTCCTAGGGATGGCTAAAGGATTTCCAGGGATGGCTCAGGGGGTCCTAGGGATGGCTGAAAGGTTTCCAGGGATGGCTCAGGGGGCCCAACTCGGGCTCTGTTTGCAGGTGGAGAGCTCTTCATGCAGCTGGAGCGGGAGGGAATCTTCCTGGAGGACACGGCCTGGTAGGGATGGGGGGGTGGTAGTGGTGGGCATGGAGAGGGGAGTGGGCACCCCAACACCGCTCTCAGCCCCCCCGTCCCGCCCCAGTTTCTACCTGAGCGAGATCACGCTGGCTCTGGGTCACCTGCACTCCCACGGGATCATCTACCGGGATCTCAAGCCGGAGAACATCATGCTCAACAGCCAAGGTGGGCTTGGGGGGGGGTCTAGGGGGCTTGGGGGTTCTCCAGGGATGGTGCTGACCCCCCCCCATCTCCCTCAGGGCACATCAAGCTCACGGATTTCGGGCTGTGCAAGGAGTCGATCCACGACGGAGCCGTCACCCACACCTTCTGCGGCACCATCGAGTACATGTGAGGGGGATGCAGCACTTGGGGGGCGCGGGGGGGGTGTCTGCCGTGGCCCCCCGTGCGCTCAGGGACCCCCCCCCCCGCTCCTGGCAGGGCCCCCGAGATCCTGGTGAGGAGCGGGCACAACCGGGCGGTGGACTGGTGGAGCCTGGGAGCCCTGATGTACGACATGCTCACCGGATCGGCAAGTCCCGCTCCTGCTCCTTCCTCCCCAGGGGCCTGGGGGGGTCTGACAGGTGGAGGGGGGGGTCCTGAAGGTGGGTGGGGGTCCTGGAGATGGGTCCCTGCCAGGAGGAGCCAGGGCCCCCTGCTACTCACAGGATCAGCAAGTCTCACTCCTGCTCCTTCCTCCCTGGGGGTCATTGGGTGAGGGGTCCCGGAGGTGGCTCGGGGGGTCCTGAGGGTGGGTGGGGGGTCCTCACCTGGGTGACCCCGAGCCTCTCTCAGCCCCCGTTCACCGCCGAGAACCGCAAGAAGACCATCGACAAGATCCTCAAGGGCAAACTGGTGCTGCCGCCCTACCTGACCCCCGACGCCCGCGACCTCCTCAAGAAGGTGCCCCCCAAACTCCCCTCGCCTCCTCCCACCCTTTATTTAAGCAGATTCTACCAAAACACCTCTCCCATTCCCCCCTCCAGCCCTATTTCTCTTCCATCCCTATTTCTCTCTTCCAGTTCCTCAAGCGAAACCCCAGCCAGCGGGTGGGGGGGGGCCCGGGGGACGCGGCCGATGTGCAGGTACAGGGGTGGGCAGGGGGTGGGGGGGGGTCAGGCGGGACCCCCCGCGTCCTGCCTGACACTCCCCAGTCCCACAGAAACAACCCTTCTTCCGCCACATCAACTGGGAGGACCTGCTGGCGCGCAGGCTGGACCCCCCCTTCAAACCCTGCCTGGTACGGAGGGCGGGCAGAGGGGGGCAGGGAGTGTTTTGGGGGGGGTCCCATGGGAGCACCCGCCGTGTCCCCACAGCAGTCAGAGGAGGACGTGAGCCAGTTCGACACCCGCTTCACCCGCCAGACCCCCGTCGACAGCCCCGACGATGCCGCCATCAGCGAAAGTGCCAACCAGGCCTTCCTGGTAGGGGGGGCACAGCCTGGGGGGGCACCCCCAGCACCCCCAGCCCCCCCGCTGACACCCCTAAAACCCGCAGGGCTTCACCTACGTGGCCCCCTCGGTGCTGGAGAGCATCAAGGAGGGGTTCTCCTTCCAGCCCAAGGTGCGCTCGCCCCGACGCCTCAACAGCAGCCCCCGCACCCCCGTCAGGTACTGGGGGGGCAGGGAGGGCTCGGGGGGAGAATGGGGGGGCTGGGGGCATCAGGGTGGGCACCCAGGGGTGGACAGGAGGCAGTGCTGGGGCAGCAGTGGGGGGGTGCATAGAGGTTGGGGGGCTCAGCATCCCCATCAGGTTCCTGCCCCATCCTGGGGGTACGAGGGGGACTGGGAGGTGGTGGGGTGAGGCTTTGGGGTGTTTTGGGGTGGGAGCATCAGTATGGGCACCAAGGGGGAAAGAGAGTGGGTGGGGGTGCAGTGGAAAGGTTCATGGGGTATGAGGGGGGCGTGGTGCCCTCGGGGCTGGGGAGGGGCACTGGCTGTGCCCCCCGTGGGTGCCCCTCTCACCACCCACCGTGTCCCCCCCAGCCCTGTGAAGTTCTCCCCGTTCGAGGCGTTCAAGCCGGTGGCCTCAGGGGACCCCATGGAGCTGGGACCCCCGCAGGCCCCCCCGCCCGAGGGCACAGCCCCCCTGCCCATCAAGCCCTCCGGGGGGGCCAAGAAGCAGAAGGGGGGCCGGGGCCGGGTGCCCAGGTAGGGGTGGGGGGGTGGGGTGGGGCGGGGGGGGGCCTGGTGCCCCCCACAGGGTGGGGGGGACCCCACGGTGCTGCTGTTGCTCCAGGGGGTTCACCCCCCCCATCCAGCACAGCCCCCTGCCTCCCGGGCTGGGGGGCACATGGGGCCCGCCCAGGGGTGTGGCCCTTGGGGCGTGGCCTTTTGGGGTGCGGCCCCTGGGGGCGTGGCCCCGCTGCTGGACCTGTGCCAATTAAAGGACTTGCCGAGGCCGTGGTGGTCCCTGTGCTGGCCATGGGGGTCCTGGGGGGGCCCGTGGCGGGGGGAGGCGGTGGGGGGAGGGTTGCCCTGCCAGGGTGGGGCCCAGGCTCCACCCCCTGTGTGGTGCCACACCCCTTTTGTGCCACACCCATTTCCCCAGCTTACCCAGGCAGCCAAAACTGGTCAGAGCTGCTCTTTATTGGCCGGTGCCCAGGCCCGCACAGCCAATCAGGAGCCTCTGCTGGGGGCAGAGGAGGGGTCCCTCTGCTGGCAGGGCGGTGACATCGCGAGGAGGTGACATCCCGGGGGGGGGTGACATCGCAGGACAGGGGTGTCAGAACGACGTGACATCACAGGGCGGTGACATCACGTGGGAGGGGTGTCGAGGTGACGTCAGAGGGTGATGACATCGCAGGACAAGGACGTGATGTCGCAGGGCGGTGACGTCACGGGGCGGTGGTGACTTCACACGGTGGTGACATCGCAGGGCGGTGGTGTTATCACAAGATGGTGACGTCGTGGGGCGGTGCTGACTCGGCAGGGCGGCAACATCACAGGGCAGTGGCATCACAGGGCGGTGACATCTCACGGCAGTGGGGACGCGGGGTGACATCACGGGGTGACATCACGGGGTGACATCACAAGGCGGTGACGTTTGGCCGCGTGTCCTCCCAGGCCGCCGTCCCCGAGAAGGGGCGCAGGTCACTGAGCAAGGCCTCGGCGCTGCCCCCCGCCCCCTGCCCCGCGCTCGGGGGGCTCTCTCCACCCTCCAGGGCCAGGGATGCCTCGGCCTCCTGCTCATCCTCCTCTTCATTCGCCGCCTCCTGCTCTTCCTCCTCCTCCTCCTCCTCCCGCTCCAGCCTCCTCTCCAGGCTCCACGGCATCAGCTCCTCTTCCTCGTCCCTCCCGGCCACCTCCGTGTCGGCGTCCCCGGGTGCCTCGGCGGGGTCCCCCAGCGCCCGCAGCCGCTGCCACCGTCCCCGCAGCAGCGCCAGGGCCCGGCGGCCCAGCGGCCAAGGGTGGTACTGGCCGGCCGAGAGGCGGCACAGGTGGTGCCAGGCCAGCGCCAGGCACAGCACCAGGCACAGCAGGACCCCCACCAGGGTGCCCACCGCCCGGTCGCTGCGGGCCCCCGCGGGGTCCCCGGCGGCCACCGGCCCCGCCAGCGCCAGCAGCAGCGGGTGCCACCGCGGGCCAGCCTGAGGGCGAGGGCAGGGGTCACCTCCCTGTGCCTGGCACGGGGCCCGGGCCTTCCCGGAGCTGGGAAAGGCCTGGGGCAAAGGGCAGCGGGGACAGGGGACAAGGGACAGGGAGGAGGGAGGTGACCCCCGTGGCGGGGACGGGAAGCCGTGGGCGGCGGGTGCTGTGGCACCTGCGGGTGCTGGGGCAGAGGAGCCGGGTCCTGCCGCCCCACGTGGCTGCACAGCTTCCCCCCCGCACCCCTCACCCCTTCCCATAGTGCTGCAGCCCCATAGAAACTCCCCCCCCAAAGCTCTAGGGTCCTCCCCAAACCCGGCATTCACAGCCTTCACCGGAGACCCCAACCCCACTATGACAACCTGAGCCAACCTCACCCTGCTCCCCTGAACCCCCCAACCTGCCCACAAACCCCACTCTGCTCCCCTGACACACTCAACCTGCTCCCCAACCCCACTGTGCTCCCCTGAACCCCCCAACCTGCTCCCAAACCCCACCGTGCTCCCCTGACACACTCAACCTGCTCCCCAACCCCACTGTGCTCCCCTGAACCCCCCAACCTGCTCCCAAACCCCACCGTGCTCCCCTGACACACCCAACCTGCTCCCCAACCCCACTGATCTCCCCTGATCCTCCCATCCTGCCCCTCAACTACCCCATGCTCACTTACCTCCTCACCTGCCCCCCCGAACTCACCACAGTACCCTGACCCCCCCAACACACCCCTCCAACCCCACTGTGCTCCCCTGAACCCCCAAACCTCCCCCAACCCCTCCATGCTCCCTTTATCCCCCCACCTGTACCCCAACCCCCATACTACCCTGAACACCCCAAACCTGCCCCCCAAACCCTCCACGCTCCCCTTCTCCCACCAGTATCCCAACGCCCCCATACTGCCCTTATCCCCCAAACCTGCTCCCCCAACCCCCCCACACTCCTCCAATCCGCCCAGCCTGCTCCCCAACCTCACCGTGCTCCCCTGAAACCCCCAAACCTCCCTCAACCCCACTGTGCTCCCCCCAACCTGTCCCCCCCACCCCATCCTGCTCCTGAGCCCCCCCAAACCTCTCCCCAACCCCCAAAACCTGCCCTCCCAGCTCTAGCACCACCAGGCCCCGCGCCCCACACCCAACTATGGAAGGGGGACCTGCCCAGGGACCCCCCATTGCTGCCCCCCCCACCCTCCAAAACTGGAGGTACCCGAATTTGAATGAAACTCAGCCACCCCCACCCTGCCTCCACGTTTCACGGGGGAAACTGAGGCTAGAGAGGAACCCACCCTTCCCCCAGCTCAGTCTCAGTTTGGGGGATCCCCCCCGAACCCTCCCGCGTGTCCCCAGCCCCCCCCCGTCCCTCCCTGCCCGTTTTTGGGGTGCTCACCATCAGCGGGTGCTGCCGGAGCGGGTCCCGACGCCGCGGGCGCGATGCCGAGATGAGGGGGGGGAGCCCCCCCAACTTCCTGCCCCCGCGCAGCGGATGTTTCGGAGCGGGGGGAGGGGAGGTGCTGCACCCCCCCAACCCCCTCCCTACCCGAAGTGCCCCCCACTTCCTGCCCGAGGCGCTGAGCCCCCACCCGTGACCGCCGCGCCTTCCTGCGCCCCGCCGGGTCACCTCCCCTCCCACGGGTGGCACCTGCAGCTTTCGGAGCTCCCTGCCCCCCTCCCCGAAAGAGCCCCCTAACCCCACAGCCACCCCCCCCAAGCCCCCACAGCCACCCCCACAAACCCCCTGGCCTCCCCGGCCCCCCACGGCCCCCAGAACTTTTCTTATAAATCCTTTATTTGGAGTGAAAATATAGTTTTTGACCCTGCACTGGAATGGAGGAGGGAACACGATAAGGAGGAGGAAGGGGGAGGCAGGGGGGGAAAGCCCCCAAAATATAGGGGGGACAATATTTCACAGTTGTAGGGGTCAGATCATGCCCTGCCCCGTAGGAAGAAGGGGCAGGACACCCCACGCAGGGACTGGGGGGTGCAGGGGGCAACGTTTGATCCCAGGAGCAACCCCCAGCCCGAGGACACGGGGGTGGGAATGGTCCATGATTTGGGGAGGGGGGCAGCACCCAGTAAGGCAATGGGGGGGGGGGAGCCCCCCAAGGGGAGAAGGACCCAGAGCGGGGTGAGGGGGCACCCCAGGGGTGGGAGGGTGCGGGGCAGGGGGTCCCTGGGGCGCAGGCGTGGTCCCTGGGGCGGTGGTCCCTGAGGGGGTCCCTAGACGTGGCCGTTCTCGAGGCGGCTGAGCTGCTCCTCCAGGCGGTCGATGCGCTGGCCCTGCTCGGCCACCAGCGCCCGCAGCGCCGCCACCTCCTGCAGCACCTCCTCCAGCTGGCCCCCCTGAGGGACAACACCCCACCCCCGTGAGCCACGCCCACACGGGACACGCCCAACAGAGCTCCACCCACTGCCACGCCCACCACACGCAGCCCAGCCCGTTGGCCCAGCCTGGTCACATTCAAAGCACACCCCACCAATCCCCCACTCGACCTTTATTGCACCCTCCCCGCTGCCCCCAAATTTATACACACCCACTGTGACCACACCCATTGCACCAAATGGCCACACCCACCAGCAATGGCCCCACCCACCTGCCCCCACCCAGCTGCTGCCACGCCCACTCTGGAGATCCCACCCACATCACAGCTCCACCCAGAGACCACACCAGTCCACAGCCACACCCACAGAGACCACACCCACTCCATGACACCCACCCCACACAGGCCACACCCACTCCATAGCCGCACCCTCAATGACCCCACCCATTCCAATGTCCCACCCACAGAGACCCCTCCCACTCCACAGCCCCACCGACAGAAACCACGCCCATCCCACTGCTCCGCCCACCACCTTCCTCACCCAGCCCCTGGCCCATCCCACAGAGACCACACCCATTTAGACCCCACCCACCCCGACCTCTCCCGCTCCTCCCTCACCGTGGCGGTGCCGGTTCCCAGCGTTCCCAGCGTTCCCAGTGCCGGGGGCGCGCTGAGCCGGGCGGGCGCGGGGGCGGCGGGGGCCGTGGGGGTCGGCGTGGTGGTGGCCCCGGCGGTGGCGTGGCCGTCGTGCAGCAGCGCCCGCCGGCTCACCTTGAGGTCCCGCTGCTTGGGGGGCACGTAGGCCTGGCGCAGGGACACCAGCACCGGCCCCGCCGTGCGCCCCGCCACCCACTCCTCCGCCTCCATGGCCGCCTCCGGGCCCGCCGTGTCCGGGTACAGGTCGTCCTGGAACAGGTCCGACTGCCCCCCGCCCACGGTCAGGGCGGGGGGACACTCGGGGGGAGCCCCGGAGAGGCGCCCCGGGGAAGCCACACGTGCCCTCAGTGCGGGCCCCCCAACTCCCAGGCACCGTGTAATACCCAGGGACCCCACACACACCCCGTGGGGACCCCCAGGCAGGCTCACTGGGGACACCCACACTGGCCCCATGTCCCCGAGTCAGGGACCACACACAGGCCATGTGGGGACCCTCACCCAGGGAACCCCCACACAGATCACATGGGGAGCCTCACCCAGGGACCCCACACACAGACCACATGGGGACCCCCAAACAGATCTCATGGGGACCCCCCCACCCAGGCACCATGTTTCACCCAGGGACCCCACAAAGGCCCTATGGGGACCCCACAAAGGCCCTATGGGGACCCCACCCAGACACCATGTCCTGCCCAGGGATCCACCACGAACCCCATGGGGACCCCCACCCAGTTACCAGGGACAACACAAACCCCATGGGGACCCCCATCCAATCCCCCTTTCCTGCCCAGGGACCCCACACAACACCCATAGGGGTCCCCCCCACCAGGGACCACCACCCACCCCCCTCCCCCTGCCCAGAGCCCCACGGACCTTCCTTGGCACCGTCATGATGATGGGCTCGCACTTGCGCTCGTGCAGCTTGTAGAACCTGCCGGGGGGGCACGGGGGGGGTCTCAGGGGAGCCTGGGGGGGCACCAGGGGGGTCCCTCACCTCGTCCCCCACGTCCCCCACGCCCACCTGGCGATCTCACACTTGCTGACATCCAGCCCACGCTTGGGCATCCAGCCCATTCCCCGCTGGGGCTCCTTGCTGGTGAAGGTGTTGAGGAAGTGGATGTAGGGGGGCTCCTCCGTGATCTCGAAGTACCGGATGCTCGAATCCCCCTGGGGACACGCCGTTAGGGGGGTCCCCGTGTTTTGGGGGGCCCCCAGCAGGGCGGGGGGTCACCGTACCTTGCCGCACACGTAGACCACGTTGGTGTCGGGGTCGTAGAAGGGCAGCAGAGCCCCGTTGCTGGAGTCCAGCTCCTGCAGCCCCATGGGCTCCTCCAGGTTCTCCTGGGGCGGGGCGGGGGGTGTGAGGCACGTGGGGACCCCCGCAGCGGTCCCGTGGGACCCCCGGGGCGCCGCTCACCATGTCCCACAGCGCCAGCTGCCGCTCGCTCATGCGGCTGAAGCCAGTGGTGAAGATCTTGCCGTCGGCCAGGAAGATGGCGCGCATGGGACGCGCCCCCTCGTGCGCCCGCTCCTTCTCCTGGGGGACAACGGGGCCGTCAGCGGGGCCGCGGCACCACGGCCAGGGCAGGGAGAGGGGGACAGGGGTGCCGAGGGGCGGGGGACAGCAGGGGACAGCAGGGGACAGGGTGTGTCCCACGGGACATTGGGGAGCAGCAAGGGACAAAGGCAGGGAACAAGGGAGGAGCAGGGGGGGACAAGGACAGGGGACAGGAGCACCCGAGAGACACAGAACGGTGGGGAACAGCAGGGGACAAGGGCAGGGGACAGGGGAAACCATGGCACAGGGGACAGTGGGGAACAGCAGGGGACAAGGGCAGGGAGCAGGGGATAGCAGGGAACATGAGGGCACAAGGGCAAGGAGTGGGGCACAGGGTCACCCAAGGGATAGGGGACAGTGGGGAGCAGCAGGGGACAAGGGTAGGGAGCAGCAGGGGACAAAGGCAAGGCCCAGGGAACAAGAGGGAGCACCAGGAGACAAGGACAGGGAGCAGCAGGGAAAAGTTAGGAAGCAGGGGTCAGTAGCACCCAAGGGACACAGGACAGTGAGAAGCACCAAGGGACAGGTGCCCCAAAGGGACAGTGGGGAACCGGGAGACAAGGGCACCCAAGAGACACGGGACAAAGGGGAGCACCGTGGGACAAGGACAAGGTACAGGGGCGCCCAAGGGACAACAGAGCACACCAGAGGGCACGGGCAGGGGATTGTCCCCCAAGAACCAGTGCGGGCCGGTGCCCCGGTGCCACGGGCAGGGTGACAGTGCCCAGGGGGGCAGGGACACTCACAGCCACCACGGTGCCGCGGCGGGGGTCGATGACACGGACGCTCTTGTCCTTGCAGGCGGTGCAGAAGCGGGAGCCGTCGCGGCTCCAGCTGACGCTGTAGATGAGGTCGGGGTGCAGCCCCTCCAGCCGGTACAGCTCCTCCGCCGTGCCCACGTTCCAGATCAGCACCACGTTGTCGCAGCCTGGGGGGCACCACGGGGGTCACCCGGGCCGTGTGACCCCCCCGTCCCCGCGGCCCCGCCGTGGCCCCCCCGTACCTGCGCTGAGCAGCACGTTGCGGGCCGTGGGGTGCCAGGTGACGATGCCGACGCGCTTGGAGTGGCCCTCCAGGACCACCACCGGCTCCGTCAGCGGCTGGCTCAGCCCGTTCTCTGGGATCTGCCACACCTGAGGGGACGTGGGGCACGCTGAGCAAAGCAGGGGCGGGGACGGGGCCGCCCCCCCGGGTGCCCTCGGCACCCCCTCACCATGACGGTGCAGTCCTCGGAGCCGCTGGCGATGACGTGGTCGTTGTGGGGACACCAGTCGATGTCGAGGACGGGGCCCGTGTGGCCGCACACGGTGGGGTACGACTTGTCGATGCGGCCGGTCTGGGGGCAAAGGGACATCGAGGGGTGTCACCCGCCGGCACAGACCACCCCCCAGTTCCCCGGCGGCACCCCCCCGGCGGCACCTTGTGCAGGGGGAGGACGAGGAAGGCGCCGCCGCCGCTGGCCTCCACGATGATGGCGACAAAGGAGGGGTTGACGGCGCAGAAGGTGCTGTCCCAGGTGACGCGGGACACGCGGATGTCATCGTAGCACTGCTCCGTCTTCACCGGCTGCCCGAACACGTGCCGGAATTTGCTCTGCCGCACCACCTTCCGGAACGACATGGCTGGGGAGGCACCCCCGGGGCCACGCTCAGGCACGTGGGGACACCCCAAAACAAGGGGCAGGGCCACCGGGGAAGTGGCACCTGCCCCGGGCTCGCCGCTGTCCTCTGCCCTGGGTAAAGGGCGGCTCAGCCGCTCCCACAACCGGGAATCGGGACACACACCCCACACACCCACCTCCCTGCCCGGCCCCCTGGGGGAGGGCTCAGGGGGCACCCCTGCAATGGGGGCTCTGAGGGGGACAGGGAATGTCCCACCCGGGATGGGGACAGGCATAGGGACAAGGATGTCCCCCTGGGTAGAGGGGTGGGGATAGAAAAGGGGACAGGGACAGCCCAGTGGGTCAGGGGACAGGGATGGGATGGGGACAGGGATGGAGATAGGGACGGGGTGGTCCTGGCTGGCTATATAGGGGCATGTAGGGTGGCCCTGTGGGACAAGGAGTCAGGGACGGGGTCAGAGATAGGGACAGGGACAAGAAGAGGGCAGGTATGGGGACAGAGGTGGCCTTGTTGGGTATGGGGACAGTGACGGGGACAGGGATAGGGACAGGGTCAGAGATAGGGACAGGGACAAGAAGAGGGCAGGGATGGTGACAGGGGTGGCCTTGCTGGGTGTGGGGACAGTGATGGGGACAGGGATAGGGACGGGGGAGTGGTCAGGAATGAGCATGGCCTCGTTTGGTATGGGGACAGTGATGGGGGACACGGATGGGGACAGGGACAAGGACGGGGATGCAGGGCTGGTGGTGGCCCTGCTCGGTACGGGGACGGGAATGGGGACGGGGCAGGGATAGAGACACGGACGGGGATGGGGACAGGGACGGGGTCGGGGACGTGGGCAAGGGGTGGCCCCGCTGGGCGTGGGCACAGGGACGGGTTCAGGGGGAAGGATGGGGACAGGGATGGGGACAAGGATGGGGACGGGGACAGGGATGGGGACAGGGACGGGGGTGGCCCCGCCGGGAACGGGGACAGGGACGGGGCTGCCCCCCCGCCCCCCCGGAAGGCGGACGGGGGGCACCGCGGGGGTCTGTGCCGCACTCACCGGCGGGTCGGTGCCCGGGGGGTGCCCGGGGGTGCCCGGGGGGTGCCCGGGGGGTGCCCGGTGCCGGTGCCGGGGTCGGGGGGGGCGGCGGCAGCGGCGGCGGCGGCGGCGGCGGGGGCGGGGCAGGAAGTGAGCGGGGCCGCCCCGCGCCTGCGCACTGGGACGGGGGGGGAACGGGGGGCAGCGGGACCCTGCGGAGACACCGGGCGGGGGGGGCACCCGGGAAGGGACAGCGCTGTGCGGGCACCGTGCGAGTCACCCCACGGACACGGGCACCCCATGGACACGGTCACCCGTGGGACAGTCACCCCACGGACACGGGCACCCCATGGACAGGGTGACCCCACGGACACGGGCACCCGTGCGACAGTCACCCCACGGACACGGGCACCTCATGGACACGGTCACCCGTGCGACAGTCACCCCACGGACACCCGTGCGACAGGGTCACTCGTGCGACAGTCACCCCACGGACACGGGCACCCCATGGGACAGGGTGACCCCATGGATACGGTCACCCCACAGACACGGGCACCCATGGACAGGATTACCCCATGGACACAGTCACCCCATGGACACGGTCACTCGTGCGACAGTCACCCCATGGACACGGTCACCCATGGGACAAACTCACCTGTGGGACAGGGTCACCCCATAGACAGGGTCACTCGTGGGACACGGTCACCCCATGGACACGGTCACCCCATGGGACAGGGTCACCTCATGGAGAGGGTCACTTGTGGGACAGGATCACCCCATGGACAGGGTCACCTGTGGGACAGGATCACCCCATGGACAGGGTCACCTGTGGGACAGGATCACCCCATGGACAGGATCACCTGTGGGACAGGGTCACCCTATGGGACAGGGTCACCCCATGGACAGGATCACCCCATGGACAGGGTCACCTGTGGGACAGGATCACCCCATGGACACGGTCACATGGACAGGGTCACCTGTGGGACAGTCACCCCAGGGACACAGTCACCCCATGGACAGGGTCACCCGTGGGACAGGGTCACCCCATGGACAGGATCACCCCATGGGACAGGGTCCCCCTGCACAGGGTCACCCATAGGGTACATTCCTTGTGGATGAGGTTACCGGTGGGACAGAGTGACCCTGTGGGCAGGGTCACCCGTGGGGGACAGTCCCCATGGACAGCGCCAGTGGGTGGCACGGGGGTGACAGTGGCGGGTGGCACAGGGTGGTAAATAATGTAGGACCTACCTCAGGGGTGGGGAGAGCTCAGAGAGAGGCGCCAGGTGAGGGAACACGGGTGGCGTGACCTTGGGGTGTCACCACTGGGGGTGTGGGTTGGTCTGGGGACACTGCGGTGGCCTCGGGGGTCAGTGCTGGGGACACTGCAGTGGCCTTGGGGGGTCACCACCAGGGACATGGGTTGGTGCTGGGGACGCTGTGGTGGCCTTGGGGTGTCACCACTGGACTCCCCACGCAAGGTCCTCGGTGGGTGACCCCAGGACGTGTGTGGGGACCCCTCTGGTGGCCGCGGCGCGGTGGCCATGTGGCCCTGCCCCGGGCCGGTGGTGGCCGTGGCTGTTTCCTGCCGTTAATCACCGCTAATTGGCTTTGCCCTGCCGGGCCCGGGAGCCCACGGGGGAGGGAGGGAAGGGTGTGGGGGTCACGGGGAGGGGGGGCGTGTAAGAGGATTTCCCGGCTCCTTCCTCCTGCTCGTCCATCCCGGGGTCCCGCTCCCTGCTGCCCACCCGGCCCCGGCCACATGCCACGCACCCGCGGGGACAAGGGGACCCCCAAGGACACGGAGCCCCCGCAGAAGGGGAAAGGGGGGGGCGAGGCGGGGGAGAACCCCCCCAAAGCCCCCGAGGAGCCCCCCGCCCACAAGAATTCCGGCTCCGAGTCCCGGCACGGCGGCCACGGGCAGAAGAGCGGGAAGAAGGGCTCGGGGGACCCCCACGCCGCGGCCACCAAGACCTACTCCCCCTTCCTCAACACCGTCTTTGGCAAGGTGGGGACAGCGGGGGGGGCACGGGACAGAGGGGACACGGGGACGAGGGCGGGGATGGAGGGACCCTGGGGATGGAGGGGATGTGGGGACCGTGGGGATGGGACAGGGACAGGGACAGTCCGGGAGCCTGCAGATGGAAGGGACATGGGGACAGCAGGGATGGGGACAGGGACAGTGAGGATGGGGACAGGGACAGTCCAGGACCCTGTGGGTGGAGGGGACATGAGACACTGGGGACATGGTCAGGGACACTCTGGGACTCTGCAGATGGAGGGGGGACAGGGACTTTGGGGACAGGGGGGATGGGGACATGGGGACACTCTGGGAGCCTGGGAATGGTGAGGATGAGGGACAGCAGAGATGGGGACAAGAACAGTCCAGGACACGGGAAGGAAGGGGGGGACAGGGACATCAGGGACACAGTAAGGGACACTCTGGGGCGCTGGTGATGGAGGGGACATGGGGATAGTGGGGACAGTGGGGATGGGAACATGGGGACAGTGGGGATGGGGACAGGGGCAGTCCAGGACCCTGTAGACGGAGGGGGCAGGGGGGGCAGTGGGGATGGGGTCGGGAACTGTGGAATGGGGACAGTGGAGATATTCCAGGACCTTGGGGATGGAAGGGACGTGGGGACAGTGGGGTTGGGGTTGGAGGACACTCCAGGACCCTGGGGATGGAGATATGGGGACAGCAGGAATGGGGACAGGAACCCTCTGAAACCCTGAGGATTGAGGGGACATGGAGCGCGGGGGACAAGCTCAGGGACACTCTGGATTCCTGGGGAGAGAGGGGGCATGGGGGCACTAGGGATGGCTTTGGGGACCCCCCAGGGCCAGGGGGACAGAGAGGACACCCCAGGGGGACACCCTGGGCAGGGCCAGCCAAGCTCTGGGGGGACACATCTTGCCCTCCCACCTCCGGAGTACAAAGCCCCCTCGGCAGCACCCACATCCCATCCGGATCCTGGGGGTCCCGGGGTGAGCCAGCCCGGGGGGGTGACAGGAGAGGGGACACGGGACCAGGAGAGGGCGGGCAGGGGGAGCAGGCACGGGGCAGGGCGGGGCTTTGCCTCCAATCCCGCTAATCCTCCGCCGGAGTTAATTTTGGCCCGTGCTTAACAAAGGTGACACGGCGGTTTGGGGGCGGGGGGGGAGTCACAGAGCCGGGTCTCATTCTGCTGTCACCCCCCCTGTGTCCCATCCAGGAGCGGGAGCTGTCGCCGGAGGAGCTGGATGGTGAGCAGGGGGACAGAGCGGGGACGGGGGCTCAGGGAGATGGGGGGGGACGCAGCCTCAGAGAAGGGTCTGCCATGGGGACACTGCCATGGGGACAGGGCTGTGGAGGGAGGGATCTCTCCAGGGGGACGTGGCCACGGAGGGCTCTGCCACGGGGGGACACTGCCACGGGACCACGTGCCACGGCACCACACCCCAGAACTGACCTGCTCCGGGGCACTGCGGTGACCGCCCACACCTGACGGTGTCCGTGTGTCCGTGTGTCCAGAGCTGCTGGACGCCTTCAAGGAGTTCGACACGGACCAGGACGGGTACATCAGCTACAAGGACCTGGGCGAGTGCATGCGCACGCTGGGGTACATGCCCACCGAGATGGAGCTCATCGAGATCTCCCAGCACATCAAGATGAGGAGTGAGCAGGGGCCCGGGGGGCTGGGAGGGGGCCGGGAGGGGGCCAGGGGGAGCTGAGGGTGTCCCCTTGCCACCGCAGTGGGCGGGCGCGTGGACTTCGAGGACTTTGTGCAGATGATGGGGCCGAAGCTGCGGGAGGAGACGGCGCACATGGTGGGCGTCAGGGAGCTCAAGATCGCCTTCCGTGAGGTACGGGGGGACCACGGGGGGACCGTGGGCGTGAGGGGACCGTGGCCATTGCCACAGGGACCACGGTCATAGGGGGACCACAGGCACGGTGGGGACAGTGACCCCGGAAAGACCATGCTGGGGAGACAATGATGATGGGGACATGGAGGGGGCAGGGATCGGGGGAAGACTGTGGGGAGACCTTGACCACGGGGTGACACTGAACATGGGAAGGACCACAGGCATGGAGGGGACAGTGACCATGGGGAGACCGTGGTGGGGGCAGTGACCGTGAGGTGACCACAGGCATAGAGGGGACAGTGACCATGGGGAGATGGTGACCATGAGGGTAAAGAGGGGACAGTGACCATGGGAAGACCATGGGGAGACCCTGATCGTGGGCAGACAGTGACCATGGGAAAGATCACAGGATGGAGGGGACAGTGACCATGGGAAGATCTTGGGGTGATGGTGACCATGGGGGGATGGTGACAATGGGGGTGACCAACAACATGGAGGGGACACTTACCATGAGAAGATCACCGGGGGATGGTGGCCATGGAGGGATGGTGACCATGGGAGTGACCACAGGCAGGGAGGGGACAGAGATCATGGGGAGAGCATGACCATGGGGGGATAGTGACCCAGGGGTCACAGGCATGGAGGGGACAGTGACCACGGGGAGACCATGAGGTGATGGTGACAGCGAGGGGATGGTGACCATGGGGATGACCACAGGCATGGAAGGGACAGGGACCACAGGAAGACCACGTGGACACCACAACCACAGGGGAATGGTGACCGTGAGGGGTGACCAAAGACACAGAGGGGACAAGTGACCACTGGGTGACAGCGACCACAGGCAGGGAGGGGACAGTGACCATGAGGGAACAGTGACCATAGGGGTGACCCCAAGCATGGGAGCGGACAGTGACCACGGGAAGACCACGGTGGGGACAATGACCACGGGGTGACCAAAGGCACGGGAGAGAACGACGGCCACGGGGGTGACCCCAAGCACAGAGGGGACGGTGGCCCCGGGAGGCCGGGGGTGGCCATGGCTGGAGGTGACCCCGAGCCCGCAGTTCGACATGAACGGGGACGGGGAGATCAGCACGGCCGAGATGCGCGAGGCCATCGCGGCCCTGCTCGGGGAGCAGCTCAAGGCGCAGGAGGTGGACGAGATCCTGCAGGACGTGGACCTCAACGGGGACGGGCACGTGGACTTCGACGGTGAGGGAACCCCCCCTGCCCCTCCCACGGGGCCGAGGTGGGGTCCCCTCCCCTCACGCCCCCCTCCTCGCCCCGCAGAGTTCGTCATGATGTTGTCCTCCCGGTAACGGGGCCTCCGGGCAGGAGGAGACCCCCCAGAGCCTCATCAGCTGCTCTTGCCCGACCTCTCTGCCACCCTTAGGGCTCAGAGCCAGCAGCTGGAGTGGAGCAGCCGGGAACGGGGCGGATGTGAGACCCCCGGCCACAGGAGCCCCCCCAGGGGTGATGGAAGGGCCGGGGGGGGCCCAATAAACCCCCCAGATCAGAGCTGGAGGAACGTGTCTGGTGGTCGTGGGGTGGGATGTGGGGTGGGATGTGGGGTGGGATGTGGGGTCACTGTCCCCTTGGCCACCCCGAGCCACCCCGGGGACAAGGGGCAGTGCTTAGGGGACAGGGTGTCCCACAGGGGACACAGAGGGGTCCCATGAAGGTCCCACATGGTCCCAGTGGCTGCCCGGGGGTGTGGCAGGGGCGCGGCATCAGGGCCAACCTGTGCTCTCCCATTGGCTGGATCTGACCCAGCTGCAGCCAGCCAGCCAATCAGCACCTCCCGAACCAACTGGCCAATCAGCACTTACCAATCAGGGCAGGGCGGGAAAACATTGGCCCTCGGGAGAAGGTCACTCCCAACCAATCAGTGTCAGGCAGGGCAGGGGCTCAACCAATTGGCACACAGCACCGCGCTGGCCAATCAGAACACACCTCCAAAGCCAGCTGGCCAATCAGCACACACGGGGGGGGGCTGTGTCACCCCCCCCCCGGGACCCCCAAACCATCCATGGAAGTGCCCCCTGGGGGTCCCCACAACAGGTGACGCCCGGGGGGGTCCCCAGCACCCCAAATCCAGCAGGGAATGTGGGGGGACACAGGGGACACCCCCCACTTCCCCCCAGCCACCGTGGGGCAGCAGGACCTGGGTGAAGAGAGAGCACCCGGAGACCCCCAGGAGTGGGGTTCAAGTCCCTGTTTGGTTGCTGCCACCCCTCTTTTTTGGGGGTCCAAGGATCCACTGCAAGGATCAGGGCCCCACAGGAGGAGGGGGTGCCCCCAAAACCAGCTGCAGGGGGGAAGTGGGGAAGTGGAGCCTTCCACTCCCAGAGCAGGCACAGCCAGGTTGGGGCATTCACAGATTTTTAATTTAGTTCTTTTCCTTGGGACAAAAAAAAAAAAAAAAAAAAAAAAAAAAAAAGAAACAAAACAAAACCCAAAAAAAAGAAATAAAATAAAAAGGCATCAAAAGCCCCCGATTTCAGGTTTGGGGGTACAGAGACCCCCACGCTGCCTCCCCCCACCCCTGTAGTGTTTGAGGGTGCAAACCCCCCCAAAACCCAGGACAGCTCTCCCCCCCCACCCTAAACCTACAGGGAAGGCACCTCATGGGGGGTCTCCGTGGGTGGGGGACACCCCGGGGAGGGGGGGACCCCCCAAAGTGGGGGCTGGGGAAGGCTCCCCCTGGGCAGGGGGAGAAGGGGACCCCGATTGCTCTCTACATATATATAATATACACCTATAGAACAGGCTGGGGGGGGAGTCTGGCCCCTCCCGTACCCCAAAAGCACCCGAACTCCTGGGGGCGGACGGGAAGAAAAGTGGGGAGGGGGGGGGGAGACCAAGGCCAGCCTCGGGCTCACCCCGGGGACCCCCCACCCTGGGGGTGGCCGTGCCCCCCACCCCAGGGTGCTGGGGAGGCGGGTGGGATGAGGGACCCCCCCCGTTCCAGCCCGGCTCTGGGGGGGCTGTGTTGGCTCCCGCTCCCCAAGGTCAGTTTGGGTGGGCTAAGGCAAAGCCCGGCCGGCGCGGGGACAGCGGGCGCTTAAGACAGACACGGAAGGGGGGGGGGTGTCCTGGCCTTCATCCCCCCCATCCCGCCGCTCCTCCTCCTCGCTGGGCTCAGAAAATATCCGGGCACAGGCTCCAGTCCTGCTTTTCCTTGCTCTCCCAGTACCCCCCCTTGTAGACGTGCGCCAGCTCCTGCGTCACCGGGTCCTTCTTCCGCTCGAACCACAGCGGTTTGTAGGGATCGCAGGGGGTCCCTGGGGGGCACAGAGGGGGTGAGGGCCCGGGGGCCACCCGGGGGGGGCTCCGGAGAGGGGGGGACATCCCTTCCTTACCGTCCTCGGAGGCGCGGGCGGCCTCGGCCTCGCGGCGCTTGCGGGAGAGCCGCTGCTTCTCCTCCAGCCGCTGCTTCTCGGCGTTGGCCTCGTCCCAGCGCCCGTTCTCCATGAGCCGCTGGTCAGGGCGCCGCCGGCTGTCCGTGGGAGCCGTCCCGCTCTCCGGGGCGTTCAGGGTCAGCGCCAGCTCCGAGAAGTAGTACATGTTCTCCGCGTACTTCCTGCGGCACGGGAGGGAGGGGGAATTCAGCGCCGGCCCCGCGTCCCTCCGCTCCTGGGAGACGCCTCATCCCGCATTCCCGACTCACGGGAGCGGGTTCCGCTTCCACAGCAGCACCCGGCTGTCCTCGGACTCGTGGGCTCGGGGCCGGGCCTCGGCTCCGTTGTCCCCCGTTCCCAGCTGGACTTTGTAGCAATCCATCTTCTCGTCCCACGTGCCCAGCAGGACAAAGTGCACCTTCCCCGAGGGGTCCGTCACCTCCCCGGTCACCTGGAGGGAGAGGGGGTGGCACCAGTCAGGACACAGGCACCCCGGGATGTCCCGCGCTTCCCTGTTTTCCCTACCTTCCTCGCCACGTCCCGGGAGAAGTAGCTGTAAGGGACAAACTTGAGGTTGCACTTGTCACCCGTCTTGTGGTTGACGATCTCGATCTCACCCGACTGCAGAGGCAAGGTGACAGTCAGACACACCCACACCCTGCTCCCAAGGGATCCATACAGGACCAGGGCGCTCCCATACCCGTGATTTCCCACCTGGTCTATCCACAGCTTCCCCACGATGATGTTGTGCACGGTGGTGGTCACCTTCTTCCACGTGTAGTGGTTGCCGGACGAGTGGAAGACGCAGTGGATGGTACCTGAGGGTGGGGCACAAGCTGTGTCGGGAACCACGCCCGGAGCCTTGGGCGTCTCCCAAAATCCCAGGATGCTCACCTAGAGGCATGATGGAGAGGTATTTCCCTCGGAATTTGCTGGTGATCTTGATTTCCTGGCGGAGTGTCCAGCCGTGCTTGGAGTCGGCGTGGTGGGCAGCGGCCGGGGGGTGGTGGCTCACCTGGACAGGGATTGGGAACAGCTCAGTGCTGGCCATCCCAAGGGAATAAGAGAGGCCGGGAGGGCGGGGCTGGCCACACCTGCTCGCAGAGGGAGCGGTATCCGCTCTCCTCCAGCCGATCCAGCTCGAAGGTCTCCCCCAGGAGCGGGTTGAAGGGTTTGCTGGTGCGGAAGACGGTGGTGGAGTAGGAGGAGACGGTGAAGGCGGCCACGTAGCACAGCTGCTCCAGGGAATTTTCGCACTTGGCCGCCCGGTCCAGGAGCTCGTGGTACTCCAGGTCCTCTGTCAGCCGCTGGAGCATCGACAGTGGCTCGTTGAAGTTCACCTGCAAGGCAGAAAGGGGTCAAAAAAGGGGCTTTTTGGGGAGCCCCGAGCCCACCCGCCGGATGTATCCGCGCTCACCGGCATGGGAATTTTGGATAACTCCTTCCCGATGCAGTTCTTCATGATGCTCCAGAGGTTGAGGCTGTAGTTGGGTTTGTAGGGAATGCGGGTTCTCTTCTCCTTCTTGGTGTCCTCAACCTGGTGCTTGTACTGGGCAGGGGGGAGACAAGGGCTGTTCCATCACTGTGACCCCCCAAAACCCCTCTGTGGGAATTAGGGTACTCACAGCCCAGCCCTGTTCCCCTCGAGGGCTGTTTCATCACTGTGACCCCCCAAAACCCCTCTGTGGGAATTAGGGTACTCACAGCCCAGCCCTGTTCCCCTCGAGAGCTGTTCCATCACTGTGACCCCCCAGAACTCCCCCGTGGGAATTCGGGGACCCCCAGCCCAGCCCTGTTCCCGCCCCAAAGCCATAAACCCCCGTGCCACCTGCTCATCCAGGCTGATGTCGCTGCTGGTGCCGCTGATGTTGCTCCCAGTTCTCCTGGAAAGGGTGGAAAACAGGGTGATCACTTCCAAGGAGGTGCAGGCAGTGGGGCCCCCCCAGAGCCCCCCAGAACTCACTTGTGGCCCATCATGTCGGGCATGGGGAAGATCTCGGGGGCGTCAAAGAACTCGTTGTTGTCGTCGTCCTCGTCGCTCATGTCACCTTTGGAGGGGCAGCACAGATCTGGGAAGGGGACAGTGCTGTTAAGGAAGGGACATCGCTCCCAGTTTCCCCACCAGTGAGACACTGGGAGGCCCCTGTCACCAGCAGGCAGGGGTCACACAGGCAAGGCTCAGATGAGCCACTTTAGAGCCAGTTTTAAGTGCCAAAATCCCTTGGGTACACAAGGTGACAGGGGACAGACCCAGCCCTTGGGATCAGGGGACTGAGGGAAGCTGAGCCTGGCTCGGGAAAGCAGCTGGGGAACACCTGGCTTGTCCCATCCTGCCTTTGCCAGAGGGGTCACACACCACCCCGGCAACCCCACAGGGTGTCAGAGGGAGCCGGTTTGGAGCGTGCCATCGGTGCCAAAATCCCTTGGCTGCACAGGTGACGCGGGACAGACCCACCCCCTGGGATCAGCAGAGCGAGGGAAGCTCAGGGAAAGCAGCCTCGTCCCATCCCACCTTTCCCGGAGCCGCCGGTGCCGGGCGTGCCGGCAGGGAGCACCGTGGCCCCCCGGAACGCCCTTTCCAGGTGGTTGTGCTGCTTTGCCAGCTGCTCCAGCGTCTCCTCCAGCCGGATCCGCTGATCCCTCTCCTGCTGCAGCGACTTCTGCCACTTCTTCCCGTGCGTCTGCGCCAGCAGCATGAAATCCCTGCAGGCCTGCGGGGACAAAACCGAACCCAAACACGAGTGCCCGCCAGTTCTCCGGGTGGTTTTCCCGCCTGTTCCCCCCAGGGAAGGCAGCCTCACGTTGATCATGGCGTTGGAGGTGATGCGGAAGAGCGTGGCCCGCTCGTTGACCTGCTTGATCTTGTCGGTGCTCTCGGGGGGCAGGCGCAGGGCCTCGAGCTCGCTGAGCGAGCGCTGCAGGGCCGTGCCGTGCTTGGCGATCAGGTCGTTGCAGGTGCTCAGGTCCTCCACCTTGCTGGACAGAATCCGCAGCGTGTTCTGCAGCTCCGTCTTGTCCGTCTGCGACACCGACTCGTCGCCGGAGTCGTCTGAGGGAACGGGGAAGGGATGGGAACCGCGGGTCGGGATGCGGCGGGGGGAGATTGTCCCGTACGCCCGGCTCTGAGCGCCCGCCGCACCGGGGGGCGATGGGGGGGCTGCCAAGGGGAGCACGGGGGATCCCCAAATCCCTGAGGGTGCTGGGATCCTGCCTTAGGGCCTGCGGGGCACTGGGAACCTGATCTGGGGCCTGTGGGACCCCACCCTTGGTCTTGTGGGGAACTGGGATATTGCCTTGGGACCCTGCCCTGGGTCTTGTGGGGAACTGGGATATTGCCTTGGGATCCTCCCCTGGGTCCCATGGGGCACTGGGATCCCGATCCAGGTCCTGCAGGGCACTGGGATCCTGCCCTGGGTGCTGTGGGGCGCTGGGATTTTGTCCTGGGTCTTGTGGGGAACTGGGATCCTGCACTGGGATCCTGCACCGGGATCCTCCCCCAGGTTCTGTGGGGCACAGGGGATCATGCGCTGAGGCACCGAGATCCTGTCCTGGGTCCTGTTGGGCGCTGGGATTTCACCCTGAGGGCACTGGGAATTTGCCCTGGGGCCTGTGGGACACTGGGATTCTGCTCAGGGCACTGGGATCCTGCCCAGGGTTCCATGGAGCACTGGGATCCTGGTCTGGGTTCTGTGCAGCACTGGGGTCTTGCTCTGTGAGGAACTGGGATCCTGCACTGGGGACACTGGAATTCTACCCTGGGTCCTATGGGGCACTGGGATTTCACCTTAAGAGCACTGAGATTCTGCCTAGGGCACCAGGATCCTATCCTAGTCCTGCTGGGCACTGGGATTTCACTGTCAGGACACTGGGATCCTGCCCCCGGGTCACTGGAATCCTGTCCTGAGGGGCACCATCATCCTGCCCTGGGGACACTGGGATCCTGCCCTGGGGACACCGGGATCCTGCCCTGGGTCCTGCTGGACACTGGATTTCACCCTGAGGGTACCGCGATCCTGCCTTGAGTCCTGAGGGCACCGTGCCCCTCCTCTGGCTCCCGTGGGATCCCAGGAATGCCATACCTGACTCCTCCAGCATCTTGACAGCCTTGGCCTTGGCGAGCTCGAGGGCGGTGACCCAGCGCTGCCGCTCCACCTCGGAGCTGGCCTTCAGGTGGTAGGTCTGGGCGCCGCCGTTGGAGATGATGAAGTTGCAGGAATCCTCCACGGTGATGTTGGCCGTGGCCAGGTTGATGGTGCCCCGGCACGTGTGGCCCATCTCCGCCTTGGATCTGCGCGGGAAGCACGCGGTGAGGGAGGGAAGGGGCCGGGATCCCCGGGACGAGCCCGCGGGGGGCCGTGCAGGGGGCCCGGCATTCCCGACCCGGCGCGCGGGGCTATTAATAGGGAGGCTTTGGTGGGGCCGAGGCTGGTGGGGGGGTGGTGTCACTTTAGGGGGGGTAAATCCACAGTCTCTGGCTCCCAGGAGCGGCCTCAGGGATCCTGGAGCCTTGGGAATCCTGGTGCTTCCTGGATCCTGGCACGGGCCGGGACGAGGGTTAAGTCCCAGCCTGGCACTCCCTGTCCACGTCAGCGGGTGGCAGGGGTGACATCCAGGCGGGACACCCCCGTCCCGGTGTGTCCCCCCTCATTCCCGGCCGTGTAACCGGAGCCGGCAGCTGCCCGAGACTCCGCTTCTCCCATTAGTAACGGAGGGACACGGCCCCCCCCGGGCCGGGCTCAGATGTCCCCGAGGGAGTGGCAGTGCCGCTGCCGGGGCTTGGGGACGAGCCACGGGGCCACCGGGAAGAGGCGCTGGGACAGACAGCGGCAGCCAGGGGCTGGAAGAGGCGAGGGTGGAGACCCTCCCGACCCCCCTCAAAATACCCGCGGGGACAAGGAAATGACAGCCCCGGTGACACAGAGGTGACAACCCCGGGGCCAGGGAGGCGTGACCCGCCCTGCTGACACCGGGGAACAGCCTGACGGCCCCCTCCCCAAACTGAGCCCCGGGGAACCGAGAGGTGACAACCCCGGGGACAGGCAGGTGACACCCGCCCCCTCCCCAGCCACCCCCGGGGGACACCGACCCCTGCCCGCTGGGCGCGGGGGACACCGCCCTCCCCCCGCTCCCCTCACCCCGTGGGGGCTCAGACGGTCCCCAAGGTCACGGGGGGTCCCCGGTGCCCGGTACCTACCGGTAGTAGCTGAGCAGCCCGTTGCTGAGCACGAACCAGCGGCGCTGGTACCCCTTGATGTAGTTGGTCCACTTGAAGAGCCACCCCTCGCGGGCCGAGCCGGGACCGGCCCCGCCGCCGCCCGCACCGGCCCCGCCGCCGCCGCCTCCCGCCGCTGTGGGTGCTGTCGGCGCCGTGGGTGCCGGTGGGGCCCCGGCGCTCGCCGCCGGTGAGGGCAGGGCCGGGGCCGCGCCGGAGCCCGCGGGCAGCGCTGTGGGCCCGGGGGGCGCGGCCGGGCCGGGCCCCGCGCCCGCCGCTCGCAGCTCCGCCATCGCCGCCGCCGCCGCCGCCGCCCCGCCGCGCTGCCGTCACTCGTCCCGCCCACGCCGCCGTCCCATTGGCGGGAGCGGCGGCGGTGGGGCGCCGCGCGCGCTGCCATTGGCCAGAGAGGGCCGCCGCGCCCGTCAGTCAAGTGGCCGGCCAATCAGAGCGGGAGCGGCGCGCCGCGCGGCGTGACGGCGAGCGGTGAGTCATCCCGCCAGCCATTGGCGGAGGGGCGGGGCCTGGCGCGGCGCGCGCGGCGATTGGCTGAGGCCTCGCCACGCCCCCCCCGAGCGCCGTGGGGGGACACCCGGGGGCGCGAGTTCGAGACCTGCGGGGGGGAAAAACGAGGACAGGGAGGGGACACCCCACCGGGGACACCCCCGGGGGTGGCGGGGGCCGGAGAAGGAGCGGTCAGGCCGGCAGCAGTATACAAGTCATCTTTATTTACAATACCCTATAAAAATGTAAATTTAGAAACTTTTATTCTCATTAACCAGAACGAAAAAAAGTGGGAAGGCTGGGGGGGGGAAGGAAGGGGAGGGGGAAGAGAAAAAAAAAACCCAACAAAGCAACAACAAAACAAAAAAAAAACCAAACAAAGAAAAAAAAAAAAAGAAGAGAAAAAAAAGACAAAACAAATCAGGGAAAGACAGAAATAACAAAAAAAACAACCTAAACAGCCGAAAACACAAAAAAAAAAAAAAAGGAAGGAAAAAAAAGGAAGAGCAGAAGAAAACAAGGAAAATGAGAAGGAACAAAAAAGCAGAAAAAAAAAGCAAAAACAAAAACACAAACAAAACAAAATACGAAAAATAAATAATATAATAATAATAATATAATGCAACTTTCACTTGATCTGTCAGAGGAAGAGGAAATGAGGGGGAAGGGCTGGAGCTCCTCGGGGGGGGTTGCTGGTACCCGGGAGGAATTCGGTGTAAAATCCACATTTGGCAAATCTCTTGGTTTGTTTTTTTTTTTCTTTTAAAAGCAAACAAAAAAAAAAAAAAAAAGGTAAAATTATCCCCCAACCACCACCACCACCTTCCCGAGGAGCAGCTGGATCCACCCGGATTGGGAAGGGGACAAAGACCTGGCTGAGCCATCCCTGGAGCTGCTGGGGCTGATCCCGGGGGTGAGGGAAGGAGCTGAATTTTGGGAAGACGCAGCAAGTGTGCAAAACAGGTGTGTGACGTGTGATCACACTGGGAAAGGCCAGGAGCGGGACTGGGAAGGGCTGGAGAAGGAGCAGGGAAGGAAGGGGGAAGCCCTGGCATCCCAAGGATACGGAGCGAGGGGCTCCCCCTTTCCGGGATCCTCAGTAGTGTGAGAGTTCGGGGGAGAAGCAGCAGCTTGGGGGTGCAGAGGGACTCTGGGAATTTGGGAGCGGCAGGGAAAGGCAGCGCTTGGTGGGAAAAGAGGGGAGCAGCCAAACATCCCCCTTTTCCCACTCATCCAGGAATTTGGGGGGGCGGGATGTGCCCCTCGTGCCAGGCCGGGCGTTGGGGGGTGTGGGGTGAACCGTGTGCCCTCCATCCATCTATCCATTTATCCATCCTTCCTTCCAGCCTTCCTCTGGAACATTCCGGTGGCGGCGAGGAGCCACGGAGATCTACCGGATCCCGTGCACTAAGCTGGAATGGGGGAACAACAGCGTGGGATCAGAGATCCCCACGCTGCTCCCTCAGGGCTTTTCCCACCCCCAGCCTCTGGCTCTCCCTCTTCTGGCCGCATTCCCACGGGAAAAGGGGGCTGGACACTCACTGCAATTTGGTCTCCAGCAAGTTCAGCTTCTGCTGGTCGACGTAGCGAGAGAAGAGGGAGATCAGGTTGGAGGGGATGGACACGGGCTTGGCCAAGGCTCCCTGAGGGATCCGCAGGAGCTCCCGGGTGGCCATCAGCATCAGCTCCGTCCTGCCGGAAAAAAACGCGGGAGAAGGGAGCAGTGAGAGCTGTGGGATGTGCTGGGGGAAGCCAGGAACCCCCCAGCTCCCCTCAGGGAAGGATTCTGGCAGCTTAGAGGCCAGCTTGTCCTCCCCGAGGGATTGGGAATAGGGGGACAGTGGAGAACAGGGACTCACCACTGGTTGTCCTGGATCAGCTCCGTGTTCGTGTCCGAGCTCTGCAATTCCTCCCCCCGGCTCAGGACCAAGTACAGCAGGGACAGACCGAACTGTGGGGACACAGACAGGGGTCAGGGAGCCCCCTCCGAGTATCCCCTCCAATTCCCAATGCTGGGAATGCCGGGACAAGCAGGAGGATCCCTGGCTAGGAGGAGGAGGAGGCTGTTTGGGGCCTGAATCCACGAGGTAAGACCATGAACCACTCCTAGCCCAGGAGCGACATCTCCCACACTGTTGGAGCAGCATTCCCACCCCAAATTCCAGGCCAGGACTCTGCAGCCCGGAAGGACAGGCCCGGAAGCCGCCCGGGGCCACCTCAGACCGTTAATTAATCTGCCAGACACTCTGGTTAATTAGCAAGGAGAGAACACCAGGAACTGCACCCGGCTCTGGGAGGCTGCTTGGGAATTGCCAAGGGCAGGAAGTGATCCCAGGGGATGAGGAGTACCTTGTTTTGGAGCACAGCAGTGAGGTGCAGGTTGGTGGGAGCGGCGGCGCTCTGAGGTAGGTTCGTGAGCTGCTGCACAAGGCTGGTGACTGTTCCCAAGGGAAGGTGGTAGAGGACGTGGGAAAAGGGCCTCAACAGGCAGGGAAGCACCTGTGGAGAAAGGAGGAGAGTTGGGAGCTCCACATGCTTCCAGCTGGAACTGCTGTGGGCAATTCCCCTCACAGCTTTATCCTCAGGCAACGCTTTTTCCTTCTTAAATCATCCTGTTCCTCAGATTTCCAGGCTGTCCAAGGCCAGGCTGGACAAGGTTTGGAGCAACCTGGGCTAGTGGAAGGTGTCCCTGCCCACTGAGTGACCCTTAAGTCCCATCCCAAACCATTCCAGGATTCCATGTGCTGGCTTAGGCGGATATTGGGAAGAAATTCTTCCCTGTGAGGGTGGTGAGGCACTGGAACGCATTTCCCAGAGAAGCTGCCCCATCCCTGGAAGTGTCCAAGGCCAGGCTGGAGCAACCTGGTCTAGTGGAAGGTGTCGTGTTGGAACTGGATGAGCTTTAAGGTCCCTTCCAACCCAAACCATTCCATGATCCTATGATTTATTTCCCAGATTCCCAGGCTCCCCGAGCCCCTCTGGCACTCTCACAGGAAAGGCAGGAGCCACCAACGATGTCATATCCCACCTTCCAGGCAGGGCCAAGGAGATCCAGCTCCAAGCAGCCCCCTCACAGAGCATCTCCCAGCCTCTGGAATCTCACCTCATCCTGAGCATCCTTCTTGATGAGGAAGGGCAGGTTCCTGGCCGTGGCCATGAGCACGTCGGCCGCTTGCTCCGGGGCCAGGAACGGGAGAATCCGGGCCACGAGGCGCTTTCCTTTCCGGATGCACATGATCTGCATGAAGTGGTCGTCACTCGGCCTGAGGAAGGGGAGGAGAAAGGTGCCAAACCCTCCCCTGGGAGCATCCCAGGGTTATCCCACGGCTGGACCAGGTGGGAAACCCCCCTGCCTCAAAAAAACATCCCTGAGGAGGGAAGAACAATGCAGGAACAACATTTCTAGCCCTCACGTAAGGGAATGGAAGTTGAGGCTTTGTAACCACAGAGAGGGGAAAACAGTGAAAAAAAAAAGGAAAAACACCCCAAAAAATAGGTTATTTTGGAATAGTCAAAGAGATCCATAAAAGCTGGTTTGAGTGGCTGTGAGTTGTCAGGGAGTGTGGGAGCTCCCAAAATCCCACTCACCTGTCCTGGCCAGGCGCTTTCCCCCTCAGATTGTCGTACATGTCACAGATCTTCTGCTTCCTCTCTCCCATCAGGGCCGGCCTTTCCCCTTCCAGGCTCAGGAGGTACCGGCGTTCGTAGTCCTCCACGTCCAGGAGGAGGCTGTACGTCTGCAGGGAGCAGGGATCACCCATGGAACCGTGGAAAGGTTCGGCTCGGAAGGGACTGTAATGGTTATCTGGCTCCAGCTGGGACACCTTCCACTAGACCAGGTTGCTCCAAGCTGGCCTTGGGCGCTTCCAGGGATGGGGAAGCCACAACTTCCCTGGGAAATCCATCCCAGGGCCTCACTGCCATCACAGGGAAGAATTTCTTCCCAGTGTCCCATTTAACCCACACTCAGTCAAAGCCATTCCCTGTTGTCCATCGCTCTCCCTTGTCCTGTGGACAGGGAACCTATGGGATCTCTGCTCCACAGAGATCCAAGCAGGACCTCAGCCGCTGCCTGGAGTTCATCCATCACGGAGACCCTTCATCCCACCCCTGGCCGTGACGATCCCCCCCGCCCCAAAATCACCTTCTCGATCGTGACGAGGGTCTGTCGTCGCTTATCCCGCACCTGCTTTTCCTTCGTCTCCTGCCAGGGAGGGAAGAGGGAGTCAGGGACGTGGGAAGCATCCCCGGGGACGTGCCAGAGGGGAGGAAGGCCCAGCACTCACGTCGTCCTCGCTGCGGGACGTCACCACGGCGTCGATCATCTTCCGGGGGTTGTTGACGCTGGACACGGTGAGTTTTCCCAGCGAGCCCTCGAACTGCACTGCAGGAAGGAGGGAGCAGGGAAGCCCTGGGATCAGCCACCTCGATATCCCTGGATAACGGGAGCCCCCCGTGGCTGCCAGAGGGCTTTACCTGGTTTGTAGGTGTGTTCCAGCTTGGCCACCTGAGGGGTGATGAGTTTGGTGCGTTCCTTCTTGGGACCATCCCCGTGCACTTCCTCAGCCGCTGCCAGCTTTTCCAGCTTCTGAAAGTAATTCTGAGGCAGGGAGAGGAGAGGTTGAGAATCCTCTCCCAAAAACCCGGCCAGGAGTGATCCATCTCCCTCCTCCCAGCCTGTGCTACACATTTCACGGTGTTCCCAGCACTGTGATTTAAAGCACAGCCGAGCGCGTTTTCCTCTCTCATCCCTTGGGATGGTGGAGGTCGAGGCTCCTCCTCAGCCCTTCCT